GCAAAAACGAAATTTCAAAATTTTGACCTCGTTTTTGGGCGATTCATGATAACGATGACCATCGAAAAAATTTTTTTTTGAATTTTTTCTGTTGGGTTTGAGAGGCTCAGAATCAACCAAAATGACGCTCGGAAGACGACAAAAACGCTGCAAATAAAATTAGAGCAAAAACGAATTTTCAAAATTTTGACCTCATTTTTGGGCGATTCATGATAACGATGACCATCGAAAAAAATTTTTTTGATTTTTTTCTGTTGGGTTTGAGAGGCTCAGAATCAACCAAAATGACGCTCGGAAGACGTCAGAAACGCTGCAAATAAAATAAGGGCAAAAAACGAAATTTCAAAATTTTGACCTCGTTTTTGGGCGATTCATGATAACGATGACCATCGAAAAAATTTTTTTGAATTTTTTCTGTTGGGTTTGAGAGGCTCAGAATCAACCAAAATGACGCTCGGAAGACGGCAGAAACGCTGCAAATAAAATTAGAGCAAAAACGAATTTTCAAAATTTTGACCTCGTTTTTGGGCGATTCATGATAACGATGACCATCGAAAAATTTTTTTGAATTTTTTTCTGTTGGGTTTGAGAGGCTCAGAATCGACCAAAATGACGCTCGGAAGACGACAGAAACGCTGCAAATAAAATTAGAGCAAAAACGAATTTTCAAAATTTTGACCTCATTTTTGGGCAATTCATGATAATGATGACCATCGAAAAAAAATTTTTTTTTTGATTTTTTTTTCTGTTGGGTTTGAGAGGCTCAGAATCAACCAAAATGACGCTCGGAAGACGACAGAAACGCTGCAAATAAAATTAGGGCAAAAAACGAACTTTCAAAATTTTGACCTCGTTTTTGGGCGATTTATGATAACGATGACCATCGAAAAAAAAATTTTTTTTTTGATTTTTTTTCTGTTGGGTTTGAGAGGCTCAGAATCAACCAAAATGACGCTCGGAAGACGTCAGTAACGCTGCAAATAAAATAAGGGCAAAAACGAAATTTCAAAATTTTGACCTCGTTTTTGGGCGATTCATGATAACGATGACCATCGAAAAATTTTTTTGATTTTTTCTGTTGGGTTTGAGAGGCTCAGAATCAACCAAAATGACGCTCGGAAGACGTCAGAAACGCTGCAAATAAAATAAGGGCAAAAAACGAAATTTCAAAATTTTGACCTCGTTTTTGGGCGATTCATGATAACGATGACCATTAAAAAAAATTTTTTTTTTTTTGAATTTTTTTTCTGTTGGGTTTGAGAGGCTCAGAATCAACCAAAATGACGCTCGGAAGACGTCAGAAACGCTGCAAATAAAATAAGGGCAAAAACGAAATTTCAAAATTTTGACCTCGTTTTTGGGCGATTTATGATAACGATGACCATCGAAAAAAAAATTTTTTTTTTGAATTTTTTCTGTTGGGTCTGAGAGGCTCAGAATCAACCAAAATGACGCTTGGAAGACGACAGAAACGCTGCAAATAAAATTAGAGCAAAAAACGAATTTTCAAAATTTTGACCTCATTTTTGGCGATTCATGATAACGATGACCATCGAAAAAAAAATTATTTTTTTGATTTTTTTTCTGTTGGGTTTGAGAGGCTCAGAATCAACCAAAATGACGCTCGGAAGACGTCAGAAACGCTGCAAATAAAATTAGGGCAAAAAACGTTTTCAAAATTTTGACCTCGTTTTTTTGCGATTCATGATAACGATGACCATCGAAAAAAATTTTTTTGAATTTTTTCTGTTGGGTTTGAGAGGCTCAGAATAAACCAAAATGACGCTCGGAAGACGGCAGAAACGCTGCAAATTAAATTAGAGCAAAAACGAACTTTCAAAATTTTGACCTCGTTTTTGGGCGATTCATGATAACGATGACCATCGAAAAAAATTTTTTTTTGAATTTTTTCTGTTGGGTTTGAGAGGCTCAGAATCAACCAAAATGACACTCGGGAGACGGCAGAAACGCTGCAAATAAAATAAGGGCAAAAACGAATTTTCAAAATTTTGACCTCGTTTTTAGGCGATTCATGATAACGATGACCATCGAAAAAAATTTTTTTGAATTTTTTCTGTTTGGTTTGAGAGGCTCAGAATCAACCAAAATGACGCTTGGAAGACGGCAGAAACGCTGCAAATAAAATTAGGGCAAAAACGTATTTTCAAAATTTTGACCTCGTTTTTGGGCGATTCATGATAACGATGACCATCGAAAAATTTTTTTGAATTTTTTCTGTTGGGTTTGAGAGGCTCAGAATCAACCAAAATGACGCTCGGAAGACGGCAGAAACGCTGCAAATAAAATAAGGGCAAAAAACGAATTTTCAAAATTTTGACCTCGTTTTTGGGCGATTCATGATAACGATGACCATCGAAAAAAAAATTTTTTTTTTGAATTTTTTTTCTGTTGGGTTTGAGAGGCCCAGAATCAACCAAAATGACGCTCGGAAGACGGCAGAAACGCTGCAAATAAAATTAGGGCAAAAAACGAACTTTCAAAATTTTGACCTCGTTTTTGGGCGATTCATGATAACGATGACCATCGAAAAAAAAATTTTTTTTTTGAATTTTTTTTCTGTTGGGTTTGAGAGGCTCAGAATCGACCAAAATGACGCTCGGAAGACGACAAAAACGCTGCAAATAAAATTAGAGCAAAAACGAATTTTCAAAATTTTGACCTCATCTTTGGGCAATTCATGATAACGATGACCATCGAAAAAAATTTTTTTGAATTTTTTCTGTTGGGTTTGAGAGGCTCAGAATCAACCAAAATGACGCTCGGAAGACGGCAGAAACGCTGCAAATAAAATAAGGGCAAAAAACGAATTTTCAAAATTTTGACCTCGTTTTTGGGCGATTCATGATAACGATGACCAACGAAAAAAAATTTTTTTTTTGAATTTTTTTCTGTTGGGTTTGAGAGGCTCAGAATCAACCAAAATGACGCTCGGAAGACGGCAGAAACGCTGCAAATAAAATAAGGGCAAAAAACAAACTTTCAAAATTTTGACCTCGTTTTTGGGCGATTCATGATAACGATGACCATCGAAAAAAAAATTTTTTTTTTGAATTTTTTTTCTGTTGGGTTTGAGAGGCTCAGAATCAACCAAAATGACGCTCGGAAGACGGCAGAAACGCTGCAAATAAAATAAGGGCAAAAACGAACTTTCAAAATTTTGACCTCGTTTTTGGGCGATTTATGATAACGATGACCATCGAAAAAAATTTTTTTGAATTTTTTCTGTTGGGTTTGAGAGGCTCAGAATCAACCAAAATGACGCTCGGAAGACGGCAGAAACGCTGCAAATAAAATAAGGGCAAAAACAAACTTTCAAAATTTTGACCTCGTTTTTGGGCGATTTATGATAACGATGACCATCGAAAAAAAAATTTTTTTTTTTTGAATTTTTTTTTCTGTTAGGTTTGAGAGGCTCAGAATCAACCAAAATGACGCTCGGAAGACGGCAGAAACGCTGCAAATAAAATTAGGGCAAAAAACGAACTTTCAAAATTTTGACCTCGTTTTTGGGCGATTCATGATAACGATGACCATCGAAAAAAATATTTTTTTTTGGGTTTTTTTTCTGTTGGGTTTGAGAGGCTCAGAATCAACCAAAATGACGCTCGGAAGACGGCAGAAACGCTGCAAATAAAATTAGGGCAAAAACGAACTTTCAAAATTTTGACCTCGTTTTTGGGCGATTCATGATAAGTTCGGGTCGGCTTGGCCCCTGCCCTGACTGAATTCAAAAACGGGGCTGGCCTTCCCTTCGGGTCGGCTTGGCTTCTTCCCTGACTGAATTCAAAAACGGGGCTGGCCTCCCCTTCGGGTCGGCTTGGCCCCTTCTCTGACTGAATTCAAAAAACGGGGCTGGCCTCCCCTTCGGGTCGGCTTGGCCCCTTCTCTGACTGAATTCAAAAAACGGGGCTGGCCTCCCCATCGGGTCGGCTTGGCCCCTTCCCTTACTGAATTCAAAAAACGGGGCTAGCCTCCCCTTCGGGTCGGCTTGGCCCCTACCCTGACTGAATTCAAAAAACGGGGCTGGCCTTCCCTTCGGGTCGGCTTGGCCCCTTCCCTGACTGAATTCAAAAAACGGGGCTGGCCTCCCCTTTGGGTCGGCTTGGCCCCTTCCCTGACTGAATTCAAAAACGGGGCTGGCCTCCCCTTTGGGTCGGCTTGGCCCCTTCCCTGACTGAATTCAAAAACGGGGCTGGCCTCCCTTCGGGTCGGCTTGGCCCTTTCTCTGACTTAATTCAAAAACGGGGCTGGCCTCCCTTTGGGTCGGCTTGGCCCCTTCCCTGACTGAATTCAAAAACGGGGCTGGCCTCCCTTCGGGTCGGCTTGGCCCCTTCTCTGACTGAATTAAAAACGGGGCTGGCCTCCCCTTCGGGTCGGCTTGTTCAAAAATGTGGCTTTTCAAAATTTGGGCCATCAATTTCGTTTGTACAATTTAAGACCCCTGGTCCAAACACAATGTAAAATAATCATTCGTCTGTATGAAATGTTCAAGATGAGCCTTCAATATTGCTGGCAGCGCTCCTTGTAAGTCCCGTATATATGTTCTTTGGGGTACAGTTAGCTTCTGAGAATCACTTTCTCCATTTTTAAGGCAAGGGAAGAAATTAAAGGCGTTTTCAAAAAAGGCAACGATCTCAGTAGGTCTGTAGCCTTCGCTGTACATTTCCAGTATCTGAGCAAGAGTTTTAACTTATTTTAGGGATTTTATAATTCGCTTTTTCAAAGAAAATTACAAAAATTAAAATTAACCATATAATCGGAAAAATCGATTTTATGCGAAATCCCTTGCTGGATAAGTATTTTGATTATGCGTCTGTTGTTGCTGCTCTGTGCATGAAGAAAGATCGAGTCGAGTCATTTGAAACAGCTTGGTTGAAGAAACGCATTGATTTTTTGAGAAGAAATCAGGGAATCATCATTCTCAAATTCTCCATCATTGTTGTCGTCTTCATTGTAAGAGATTGATCTATCTCTTTTTCTCAATTTTGTAGCTGTAAGGTGTCCGTTATCGCTGCTTTCTCTTTCACGTTTCCGTTTATTTTTATTTCTCGCGCTTGGGGGGCGAGCTGGGGTTCCTTGTCGAGATGTTCCTTGACTAGGTGTTTTTTGGCTAGAAGCTGGTCGTGAAGGGGTATTTTCTTTGTTATTAGGTGTACCAAAGCCACCAGAACTCGTTTCAGGAGAAGCAATTTGATCTCGTTGGCGATCGAAATCGTTCACAGCTTGCGCAATCGATTGAGTTTGCTGATTCGAAAGAACTCTTTCGCGAAGTGGCGAGCGGAAGTCAAGAGCGCGATTGACGTTCTTTTGGCTTTGAGCTGGGACATTTTCTTGCTGAAAAAATGATAGACAAAAATTAGAAATTAAAGCTACCCATCCAGAGGGAAATATTCCCTTTCGACCAAAGAAAGTTCGAAAACCTCTCGGGTAATGCCTAGGATTGCACGTTTCATCAAGATTTCTTATCAGACTGATTCTTAAGGAAAATGTTTATATTAATTAACATGAGAAGAAATACCTGTCAAGAACACACCACTCCCTTTCCATTTGAGACCAAACAAGATGATGCCTCGAGGAATCCAAAAGAAAAGCCTTTATAGTATTGTAGATATGACGGTTTCTCTGCAAGGCAGTTTTATACGCGATTCTACTCTCTAGTATCTCCTCAAGTTTTATTTGGGAATTGATTTTCGGCAAGTCCGAGAGTGTAAGTAGCAAACACTTATTCTCATTTGTTTTCTGAAAAACACCATCGACAGTAAGTAAAAATAAAGAAAGATTCGTTTCATTTTGTGTTTAAACGAATTGAGGATCGTATTTATAGGGAAGATTTATTTAATTATTGTCATAAGATAGTCTTAATGATCATACGATCAATTCTGGATCCCGAGAATGTCTAATTTACATCAATAAGACGGGTTGTCTGTAGTTATTATTTCAATATTTTCAGACATTAGCTGTCTAAAGTGTCAACTTTGTCTCCAAAAACAAGCAAAGTCAAACGTCTAAAATTTTTTATGAATACCGTAAATAACTTTAATATATTCATCATTTCCAAGCAAAATAAACTTTCCTAAAGACTTGTTGGTTTGATCTTATGAAAAAGTCATTGAATCAAGTATATTCGTTCTTACATCTGCTTAAAAGATTCCTTATAGGTAGAGAAGCGTTTTGATATACATATTTCAGCATTTTGTTTATATAAAGTGCGTGAACCGCCTTGAACCGCTGTGAACCGGGCGGTCAACCAAGCGGTTCGGTTTGAAAACCTGTTGAAATGATTCCTTTAGAGTAGAGAAGCGTTTTGATATACATATTTAAGCATTTTGTTAATATAAAGTGCGTGAACCGCCTTGAACCGCTGTGAACCGGGCGGTCAACCAAGCGGTTTGGTTTGAAAATATGTTTAAACGACTTGTTTTTGAAAAATATGCATTTCGATATACATATTGCCGGATCTCGACCCTTCTAAAGGCTTGAACCGCGACGAACCGCCAGAATGACCAGCTGGTTCATAAAATACCACCTCGATGAATTCAGTGATTCATAAGCTTCAAGAAAAGCTATAGATCGTAATCATAGCACGCCTAGATCAAAAGTTGAAATTCTTGAATTTTCGTATTTGGTAGTTTCAGTCAACTTTGTGGCGCTAGAAAATCTCCGAGGATCCCCGGATCATAAATTTTTTCAGTTAGGAGAAGGATAGACACTCAACTATCATAAATTGAAGTTTTAGCAAAATCGATATGTGCGATGGCTGCTAAAAGTCGCTTTAGCTGACATTAGTGCATTTTTTCTCATCAAAAATCGACGAAAAAGGAGCTCAAAATTGAAGCTTTGAAAAATCTGCTAGTGCAGTTTTTTCTTGTTTGGTCTGACCGATGTAACTCATAAATGGCGCGCAAAAGTACTCAAGGATGAAGAAAATCGATTTAAGCCGCGATAAGCCTAAATATTACTCATATAGACGGTAATAATAACACTGTCATAACAAACCACACTCAAAAATCAATCGATGGTAAAATTGATGAAGAAGACGCCGAGCTTACAGATGAACATGAGGACTGCGAGAATTTTGACAATAATCTTGTTAGTCACGGAAACTGTATCACTCAAAATGACGAGAAACAAGTCGTCATCGATGAGAAGACTTGTAAAGAAGACGTTAAGTTAACTGATAAGCTTAACACCAGCCAGAATAATGGCAATGATCATGATAATAATGAAAACACCTTCATTCAAGATGACGAGGAACAAGTCACCATCGATAAGAAAACTGACAGAGAAGACGTTAAGTTAACTGATAAGCGTAACACCCGCCAGAATTATGGCAATGATCATGATGTTAATGGAAACACCCTCGTTCAAGATGACGAGGAACAAGTCAGAATTGATAAGAAAACTGATAGAGAAATCGTCGACTCAATTAATGACCGTGGAGACTGCGAGAAAACTGACAATGTTATTAGCGGAAACTCTGTCAGTCAAAAGAAATTTAAACAGGACTCCGTCGATGAGAAAACTGACAAAGAAGATGTCAAGTCAACTGATGACAATGATCCTGATGATATCCCAAGTTGTTTCTGTGCGTTGTTATGATCTTCGAAGTTCATTACTTATATTTTCGATGCGCTTCAAAAATTTTCAGTAACAGAAATATTCACGATTAAATACTTACAAAATAAGAAAGTCGATTGATATCATTTGATAATTTTATTTCTTGTTAATTTTTGGTAGTGCTGTGGGCATTTAATGACCGTCATCAATCAAAAAAACAAAGAAAATTCTCAATTTTCAGAGGCTTGAAAGGTAAAATTTAAAGATCAGATTGAGACAAAATGAATTTGATTAAGAAGAAAAAGAGTCGTGTGCAGAGTTTGAGTGACGGTGGTGGCTAATTTGACGAAATTTTAAAAATTTTTAAATTAAGCTAAGTCCCCTGTCGAGGGCATCACATCAAGTTTTTGATCAAATCTTAAGGGGCGCACTTAGGAATGAGGGTTTGAAAATTGGTTTTCAGCCCAAAAATGAGCAAATTAAGCGAAAAAAAGCCTGAAAGCGCTGATACAATGTCCATGTTACAATATGTTCGTTATGAATCAGAAAGATTCCTTTCGAGACCTTGGAGATTTTTAAAATTCTTGCTATTTAAATTTCTCGCTTATTGGAAAATCATGAAGCCACGTTTGTCACCCTAGGCAAGAGAAAAAATGTATTGTTTGGCAAATGATTTTTCCTCCTATAATAACATTCTCGAATCGATTTGTTCATTTTTTGTAAAATTTCACAGATAACTGATATTTTGATCCTTCTTCTCGTTTATAAGTTTCACATCGTCTTCTTACAAAATCATTGGTGTGATATAAATCATGAAATAAAATCGTTTTTTTTCAGACAGGTTAAGGGGATTAAAGAATACGTTCTTTTAAGAATTTACTCGCCTTCAGTCTTTCTTAGGCTTGATTTTGAACGTATTTTTCGTCGCCCCTCTCGGTTTCATATAGCCGCTTAATTTGAGTGCACCTTCAAATGTCGATCTTATCTAGAAAACAACAAACTTTATTGTTCGATTTTTATTGCTTTTCAAAATTCCCTTACATCCCTAACATTCGAAATTTTTTTTTGCGAAAAATATCTACAGCATATCGAATTTTTCATTAGTTCTTCAGTTTTTCTCTATCATCACTTGTTGCTTGATAAGCAGGATAAGTAAAAAGGAGCCAAACCAAAGGAGGAGTCAAGTTATACTGAATAAGAGAGCTGATAAGAGCTTTAGATATCATTCGTTAAACTACAAAAATCTCATTTACAAGAATAACAGCCACCGCTTGAAGTTCGGCGCCGCGTTGCCTTACTGGGCCAAACAGGTGGGGTTGTGCGCCACCGTCGCGCCGCTACGAGTCTTATTTTAAATAAAATCATCATTTCTGCTCGTTTATAAATCGAAATTTGCGAAGATGACAACAAGATCGAGCTTTTTTGGAAAACCGAGAGCCCCGACATCCTCTCTTCTTGTTCGGAAAATCCAATTGATCCAAGCTTAAGCTATTGAAATGATTCTTGAGCAAAAATTTACCAAAGAAAAATACTTTTTATAGCATTTTTGAATTCTTTAGGAAAAACAAGTATGTTTGCCTTTTAGATATTTGAAATCAAACAAGGGAAGTCCGTTCTCCAGAGAGCCCAAAAGAGAGATTATAGCCCTAGGTTAAGAAGTGTTCTTGGGTTGAAGCAGAGGTGTAATCAGTAGAATTTTGGCACTATAGCCTAATGAGCGACGTAGGGTCGAACGCGAAGCGCACCTTGTTGGGCCTAGGTTTAGTATTTTCTATAGAAAAATTTCATAAGAATTGATAAATGATGACATCTCATCGATGAAAATTAGGGTAAGAATGGAAAAGGTATGTTTGTCTGCTTTTGTAAAGGATTACAAAAACTCTTAGAGTTCGGCCCTGATGATTGAACTTTTGCTGTTCCGAAAACGTAAAGCCACTGCAAATAAAACGAACTCGAAAATTTCGTAATAATAAGAAAAGGCTTCGCGGAAAATAATTGCTCCAAAATCAAACGTTATTTAATTAGTCGAGTCATTACCGACAATTTAATCAAGCATGTCATGTTTTATTCTTCGTTCTTGAACTTGAAGGAATTTTCCACGTCGATTCGAAGCGCGATTTTGATGAAATCGTTAATTTTAAAAAATGTGAAAAAGGACTTTTCCATCACGCAAGCGATTTGCATAATTTGACGGGAGGCGATGTCTAATGACGTTCAAAAGCGAAGTTCTGACAGAAGCCGTCGGCGCTAGAATCAGATTGCTAAGCAGAATTACGAATTTAGGTAGTAAGTTTTTCTATCCGAATAAATCAGCTCTTTTTGCTAAAGATAGATAAGTTTTGCTAAGCCAGACTCAATTTATTCTTAAAATATATTTATTTCGCAAAAATAACGCCAAACGAAGCTAATGCTTCAAAAATGGCTTTGCATAGCTTGCAGAAAACTTCGACCGGGTTTGGCTCAGTAAGCTGTCAGCTTTCTTAAACTAAGCTTAAGCTTAAGCTAAAGCTTTGTTATTTTTCAAAGAGATCAGCTCAGCTTAGTTTACTTGAAATTCTGACAAGTCTGGTTACTTTGTCTAACTAAGCTTAGCCATTTTAAGTTTCAATTCTTATAATTTTTATTTCATAAATCTCATCAGACTTTCAAGCAAAGAAAGTTTAAAATCATCCTCACTTTCTTCTTCTCTTCTCATGTCGAGAGGCTGGCCCAGTTGCTGCTCGATATAATCGTGAGTTTCTTCGCCTCTACTAATCAGGTTCAAAAAGAATTACAATAATTTGAGAAAAAATCAAAAAAATTCAAAAAATTCTAAGAAAATAACTTCTCTTATTTGAACCAAATCTTAAATTTCTCCACACACTTGGGTTAATAAACCCGGCCCAAGCGTCAACAAAACTGGAAACAAAAGAAAGCTGAAAATCTGCATCTGAAAATTTTTTGGAAATTCAAAATTTGATTTCCATTTATAGTTCTTGATTTGACAGATTCGCGAATTAATTTTTAAGAAGTGGTTTTTAATTTCTCTTTTAGAGGCGGCGACGTACCTTTTCAACTCGCGAGAATATATGTTTATTTGATGCAATGTTCTTTTATTCCAATTGAAGAGGAGAATTCAAGAAAAAGACGCAAAAAAACTGGGTGTCGGGCGCTGAGGTTATGCCATAACCAGGTTATGCATTTTCCAGGATTTTGCATTACCTGGTTATGCATTCTCGATTTAAATTGGATCAATTTGAGGCTAAGTTGGTTCCAAAAGACTTAAAAACGATATTTCTCTAAGATCAGGCGCGAAGCGCACTTGAACTATCTGTTATATATCAATTAATATGATTTTTATTAAGAGTGCATAACCTCAGCGCCATTCACCCAAAAAACTAGTCTATTTTCAGCTTAAAAAATGATTAGTAAAGATGAAAAAAAACGTCAAATTTCGACTCGCCCTTTTCCCGGAAATCTGCTGACCAAAATTATGAGATTTCTGAATAAATTTAAATTTTCCGCTGAAGAAGAAAACTGCTCCGGCACGCCAGGGTCCGATATTTCCGCCGTGTCAAGCCGCTCCAGGAAACCGCAAATGACAAGTTCGATTATATAAAGCCAGCTCGAAGCCGAGTTTTCCAGCATTTCGAATTTTTCTTGATTTATAATTTTTCTTCAAAGAATGAGACTTGCTGGGCTGATTTTTGGCTTTTCAAGAGCTTGCGAAAACGGTTGGGTTGACGACTTTCAGGTTTGAATTTGAAAAATTTGATTGAATAATTCTGGATGACCTACAGTTCGCCAGGAAATGCCCCATCACCTACGGTTCCATAGGTGAAAAAAATACCATTTTTTCCTGGCGAACCGTATGTCATTTTTGGTAACTCTAAAACGGTCGCATAAATCTTGTTTTTGCCCCTTTATGCATCAGATTTCAAAATGAAACCAAACGGGGAACACGTAAACTTGGTTCTAGTTGAGGTAAATTTATATTTTTTGAAATTATTTTCAAAATTGGTTGCAAAGGAGTCTAATGTATGGAGGATTGAGCAAGTTTTGCTCTCAAAACGAGCAACTGTTCTATTCTGCTAGACGCACTATTCTATGAAAAACTGGGAGAAGATGATGAAAGTGATATTTCTCCATTGAGTTCGCCAGTGAGAATGGGTCGTTGGAGGTCAAAAGATACTATCATCGTAGCCGCATTTCAAACTGATAGTGATGAGTTCGAGAGTTGAATCGTTGGGAATCAATTTAACCCTAACCCTTTTTTCAGAAAAACTCAATCAATATATTTCATAAATTAAGCAAACAATCAAGTTTCTAGAACAGACAGACGGTTCGCCAGGAAAGAAAAAATACCTTCCTGGCAAATTGAAGATTTCCTGGCGAACCGTAGGTAACCGATAATTCTTATTATATTTAAATAATTGACACAAAAATAATTGCGATAGATTTTTCGTAGGCGCCAACTCGGCCGCCGATTTGCCGTAAGGCCCTATCGAGACTGCTGATTGGTTGTTTCCCAAACTTTGAAAGTTTTTATTTTATTTAGAAATTCTTGCATAAAAAAAAATTTCAGGGCAATTGTTTACAAATCGTTTCGGATCCCGCTCCATGGCATTCTGCGCTGGATAACTGCTTCAATCAAGGAGCTCACATGCTTCATGTAAATTCTGAATCGTACAACTCAGCCATCAAAGAAATGAAAATCGCGAAAGGAAATGAGCTTCCTATTTTCCTATTATTATAATATATCCTATAATAGCGAATCTAGATTTTTCTAGATTTCTCTAGAATTTTCTAGATTTCTCTAGAACTTTTCTTGATTTTCTTGATTTTTCTAGATTTTTCTAGGATTTTCAAGAATTTTCTAGATTTTCTAGATTTTTCTAGAATTTTTAGATCTATCTAGATTTTTCTAGAAGGTTCTAAAATTTTCTGTAGAGAACAGAGAATCTCTATTCTATCATTTTTTAGCTAAAATTGATGAACAAAATTGAGCTCGATAAAAGATCTCTGGATTGGATATGAAAGCCCGGAAAGAATGAATGGATTCTTCAGCTCTGACGGATTTAGCGCAATTTGGCAAAACTTTAGAACTTCCGGAGGTATACAAAGAGTACAGTTTAAATATTAAAAAAATTCAGATGAGAGATCAGATTCGGAGCACAATTGCGCTTCAATGATGGAAAACGGAAAATGGAAAAAGACGATTGTTTCAAGAAAAAGCCTACGTTTGCCAGAAAGAAACAAGATTGGAGGTAGAGAAAATGAAAAAACAAGGTTTTATTTTTAGAAAAACGAGGTGACAGACTCGATTTTCACGGCGATCGAGCCTTGTCTCGAATGGTCGGAAACAGTGATCAGTTGCGGCGCGATCAAAAGAGCTCCGGTCAAAGTTTCAAATTACAAGCATCGATTCGACAAAGTTGCCAGAGGTACTTAAAAAGTTTTTTGATAAAATACAAATATTTTTAAGATGCGTCTTGGCACGTGGTCGCAGTCAAAAACTGCAAATGGCCTTCGAACAATCAAAGATTCAAACGCTTTTTAGACTCTCAGGTATAATTAGGACTTTAATAAATTCTAGAAAAAATTTCTAGAAAAATATTTTAAGTAAAAATTTCATAAAAAAATTTCAAGAAAAAATTCAAGAAAGAAAATTTCTAGAAAATAAATTCTTGAAAAAAATTCTAGAGAAAAACTTCTAGAAAAAAATTCTAGAAAAAAATTTAGAAAAATAATTTCTAGAAAAAATTTCTTGAAAAAATTTCTAGAAAAAAATTTCAAGAAAATAAAAATCTACAAATTTCTAGAAAATTGAAAAAGGAAACAATTTCTAACAAAACTTCTAGAAAAATTTCTAGATAGAAAAGTTCTAGGAGAAAAATTCATTTTTATCTTGGAATCTCTAATTTTAAAATAATTTAAAGCCTTCAAAAGCTTCTCCTCCGATTTCGACTCGCTGTACCGCGAATTTTTCGCCGAATTCGAAGCCGACATGAACGAAACCGACTGGGAGAACATCTCCTTCGACGACGAAATCCGCCTTTCGAAGGAAAACATGAAATACGAAAAAGCGAAAAACTACGTTTCTGGCGCCAACGAGTGCTCGAGCGCGATGAAACAGGTTTGGAAAAACGAGTTTTTTAGAAATTGCCCGAAACTCGGAAGCTGGAAAAGAAGATCCAATGGATTAATCAAAAGCGTCTCGAAAATGATGCAAATTTGTATTAAATCTTTGTAAATAAAAATTTATAAAATTTGAAATGAATTTTAATTAAATTAATTAACAATTTATATAAATTGTTAATTAATTTTATAAACTCTTAAGAGATGGTGTCTGGAACCGACAAAAAATTTCGACAAATTTTGCGTCGGCGGCTACTCGGCTGCTGATTGGCTGGTTTGCAGAATCCGGGCTTCTGATTGGTTGAAAATTCCAACGAAAAATTTGTCGAATTTTTTTGTCGGTTCCAGACAACTCCCCATTTTTAATTATTTTTTTATTTAAATTTTTAATTATAATAATAATAAAAAATCTTAAATATTTTTCAATAATTTTTATTAAATAAAAAAATTATCATTTTTTCTAAATATTTTTAATTATTTAGAAATTTAAATTAAAATAATAATCTTTTTTCAAAATAATATTTGTATAAAATCTTTGTAAATAAAATTTTATTGCTTTTTACTCGGGAACGGTCGGACTCATTACCAAAATTTTTGGTAACCCATTACCAATTTTCGGTAATCGATAATCAAGTTATTTTAATTCTTTCGCCAAGTTAATGAATAAAACAGCCCAAAAGTTTTCCATTATAGAGGCGCGGAGCGCACACTCGCTCTTTGAACGAAAAAATCGACACTTTTTTGACGAATTTGGTAATGCATTACCACAATTGGTAATGGGTTACCAATTGGTAATGAGTCCGACCGTTTCCCCTTTTTACTGGCAGTGGCATGGTCGCGAATTATACAGTCATCAGGTCGATATCTAAAAGGATAAATAAAAGGCATAAATTGAAAAACACTCACATTGCTTCTTGCTTTCATTTTGAAGCTTTTTGACGGTGCGTTTGTCCCTGTATATTCTGCAAAAATCGCAAAGAAACTCGATCCACAGGCAGGTGAAAAACGACGCTGAAAAAGGGTTAAAAAGAAGGATTTCTCTGAGTTTTTACCGAAAAGAACGAAAACCTCGAATCCGACCTCCAGATGCAGCTGCATTCGGTTTTGGAGCCCTAAACAACTTTTGAAGCGAATAAAATTTCTTTACCATTTTCTCTATTCTTTATTTTGCTTTAATCTTCTATTCTGAGCGTTGACTACTTTCCCATTACAGTGCCATTGTCGACAGATTGGGCCATTTACTCAGCTGCTGCTGGAAGCGAGCCCTTCCATCCACGAAACCGAACACTCAAACTGGCGCCTCGACAGATCCCTTTTAATATTCCCTTCTTTCTCGAAAAAGGCTCGCCAGAATAAAAAATGAGCGATTAAAAATCATTTTTGCCGAAGAAAATGTTTGCTGTAAACATCAACGTCGGTCAAGGAGAAATTTCTCACAATTTATTTTGGTAAAAATAAATAAGGGATAAAAACGAGCCCCGAAAAGAAAATTTAACAACAATTTTCAAATTTTTGGACTTTATGCCAAAAATGACGAAAATCCAGATTTTCGGGGAAAATATCGAAATTTTTAGCTTTTATATAATGAGACCCTCATTATACTTTGGAGCAGGGCTGTCGAATTCGGAGCGTTTGCTTTTCTCCGCTATTTTTAGCCGAGAATCCGCAGCCGTTTTCTCGGAAGATACACCGTTTTCCGCGCGGAAAGTCCGCCTGTTGGCGGCGGTGAAAAGGGTAGTAGGGGATTATCATTCGAGCTGCCCCTGACCCCAAACCTAAACCCCTAACATCGAATGAAAGCCCCTCTCTACGGAGAAAAGGGAGCGGGTGATCCGCCGAAATTTTTGCTCAAAAGACGAAATTAAAGGGTGTTCTGCTCTTATGATTGGCTAGAGAAAAAGGGTAGCGGGTAATCGCGGAAGATCCGCGCGACGGAGAAAATCGGACGATCGGAGACTTGGAGAAAGCGCGGAAAAACGGAGAAAATCAGCGAATCTTCCGCAAGAAAATTGCGGAGAAATGTAAACGCTCCGAGCTCGACAGCCCTGCTTCGGCGACAAAAAGATTAGACCTTAATGTTTTTATTTAAAATTTATTATTTCGAAAATTTTACAAGAAAATAAGATTTTCATATGGACGCCCATAAATCAGTAGAAAAACAGAAACGCGACTGCAATCTACACATATAGATTCTTAAGAAAGCCCATCCTTAATTATAAAATGGTAAATCCCTCTTTTTCGTGCTGTCTTTCTTTCTCTCTTTCTGCTCAAAAAGTCATAAACTAGTCGAAAACGAAATAATCGTTTCGGAGCCAAAAGGCAAGCATAAGGTGGACAGATCGAGTCGGCTGTCGATTTGGAATCGATAGCCACTATTATTTCATTCATTTATTTATTAGCCACTCATGAATGCTCCTGTATCGAAGTTCATCGCTTTTTATTCAAAAATAACTTGTTTAATTGACCCTCAATTACCTGGCAAAGACATGGCGGAAAATTATTTTTCTATTTTTTCTCTAAAATCTTCGAAAATCGCAAAAAAGAATATTCTCTCTAACTAAAATGATCGATTGGCGCCATCAGTGCTCTGCGAATTACTGTCATTCGAAAGCGAAAATCCAGTTTCTGCTTCAAGCAAATTAACCGCGAGTTTATTTGATGAATTGCATTCGACGGCTCTTTCTCTTGATTTTGCAGAATTCATAAACGAAAAATGTAAGGGGACAACTACAAGAACCCCTACAGAAAGCGGCAAAACCCATTTTTCGGCCAAAAGTCCAATTTTCAAATGTGAAATTAAAAGTGAAGGAGTTAAACTAAGTACCCGCTAAAAAAAGAAGACGTGAAAAATTTTTCAAAAAAAAATGATTTTTTTGGTGCAAAAGTGTAAGTCAGGTGTTGTATTTAACCTCAGCTCACAAAATCATCATGAAAAGCTAGCCTGAAAATGACCACTCAGATTTCAGCGGGTATCAAGAGTTAACCCATCCTCGCCCGCGTGGATACGTCTCAACCACAGAGGCAGTTTCCAAGCCCTAACTTCGTTTTTACGCCTCGAAACTTTCGAGTCGAAAGTCAGAAATTTTTTGATTTTTATTTTTTTCTCAAAAGAAATCGATTTCACCCGTTAATTTTGAAATTTTATTTAAGGACCCCCGTCAGCTTTTTTCAAAAATCAAATTTCGGAAATTTGAAATTTCGAACACGGAAATGGATTCTACGGGTCAAAAAACGATTTTAAGGCATTTTTGTGGGTCTATCTCGACTGCTCACCCCCATAATCGCATTTGAAAATTTTATTTTTTGCCGAAAATTGACGAATTTGCCTTAATTTTGGCAAAAATATTAGTTTTTCTAGGTCAAAAGTCCTCATATCAAATTTTTGAAGTAAGATTAACCTGAGGAGGCATTAAGAACCAAAAATATGGTGTTTTTAAAAATTTCCGTATTTCGGAGGAAAAAGCTGACGGGGGGGTCCTTAAAAATCAAGCGGGGTTCTTTGACTCACCATTTTAAAAGTCACCTCAAAAAATAAGTGTCGTTAATTTTTAAGTAATTATTTAAGTGATGAAAAAGTAATATTCCTCTTTTTAATTTTACCTAAAGAAAGAGACAGATCTTCTCGCATTTTTAAAAGAGGAAAATTATTGAATATTTATCTTAGAAAAAAGATTCTAATAACATTTTAAGAAATCAAAGACGCAGATAAAACCATTTGTAGCTGAATTAGTAATGATGCAGGTATTTTTCTCTCGTCTCAAAGAATTCCGATGGCATCATTGATTTCACATCATTTTCTTAAAAATAATATATTCTTTGATTTTGTTCAGACAATGGATTCTTGAAGGTAATATTTGCAAAGCTGTTTCGCGACTTCGTCTTTTAAGATAGCCGCCACATGGTTTTTATTCTAGCACTTCAGACCCTGGAAGGATGCAATTAGACTGGGTCTCAGACCCAGGATAACCCCTCAGAAATGACGCCTGGGTCCAAAAATAAGGTGATGAGCGTTACAAGAAGAGAATCTTTTTTAAGCAGTCTAGTATTTATATTAATTGAGGTGAGTGTTAGGGGGCGCCTGCAAAAAATGACGGATAAAACTCACACGAGGGGGATAGGCAAGGGTTAGTTAGGGTTACTAAAGGTAACCCTAAGTAACCCTAGACTAGACCCCGGCTTTTTAGGACCTAAGGGGCAAATAGATCTGAGAATTTTCAGAGAATCAATTGAAGAAGTCTACCTAAAATGCAAATTATTAAATTAATCCTGGGTATTGGACCCAGGCGTAACTTCTGAGGGGGTATTCTGGGTCTGAGACCCAGGCTTATTGTTTACTTCCCAGACCCTGACTCAGGTTTTTACACTGAGCCCAGCCCTAGGGCAAAAGAATCTGGCCCAGATCTAATAATTGTCAGTTCTGCTCAATCATTTCGAGAAAAAATCAGCTCAATTTCGGTCTCAGCAGAAATAATCCGAGAAGCTGTTTTCCCCGAAGCGCTGCAATAACCGGAGGTGTGGGGCAATTTTCGGCAAATCGACCATTTTCAAACAGCCCTCAGGCTAAGATGGGTAATAAAATTTTTAAAAACTCTTCTTCTATATATAGATTGGACCCTAAACTAGAGTTGAAAATTTTTTCAGAAAAAATTATTAAGGGATTTTGGCCATAATGACCTCGACGCCAAGTCATGTCCGTGAAAATCGTCATTTGGCGTCATTTTTGAACGCGATTTTTTGGATGAAAATATTTTTATTTTTTAAAACTTAGACGATAAAAAGAAACTTCCATCGCTGTTCTAGGGTTGAATAGAAGGAATTTTATTTTTCTCGAAAAATGCTTATTGTAAGCTTTCGATTGAAACTTGGGTCTCAAAACGTCCAAAAATTGCTATTCGAAATTAAGTTAGCTCGTAATACAGTAAGATAATGCTGTCCTTGTAATTATCAAAAATACTTAACAAGTCGTGAACTTTCCAAAAATATAGAAATATTTCAATTTTTAGACATTGAAAAATATAATTTCGCAAGTTTTCATGAAAACGCCAACTTTCAATCCCATTTTTCACTATCTTTCTCTATCATAAGAAAAAACATAGAGACCTTTTTGTTGCTCTTGACCTGAGCTATCTCAAAATGGAAAGAAAATTTGAAAATTCGAATTTTCGCCAAACCGCCCCGTACCCCCTTAACGATATTGTTTGGTTGAATTCGGCTTTCTTTATCGCCGCTTTCAAAATCAAACACATGTTTGTTCTTCCAGCTAGCGGGCGCTAGAACAAGCCCTTATCTTACAATTCCATCGCTTCGAGAAAAAAGCAGAAAACGCGCAAAGCATTATTTTTTCGATTGTTCACGAGAATTCATTTCTCGAAGAATTATTAAAAAAAAACGAGAAAGATGGTGAGAGCGCTTTCAACACTACTTCTCGGCAGTTTGGCCAAAGTTAACGACGCGGCGACGAGTAACTTTGAAAACGAGGCGATCGAGCAGTTGCAGCAAATGTCGCTCACTTTTTCCAGCTTGACAGGGAAGCGTTTTCAAATGGCGTTTTTAATAGTGGTTTGGAGTTTTTAAAGTTTATAAAATTTATAAATGGGTGGCGTCACGAGTTGACAAAAACAAGACTAAATTTCGTGGGCGGCTAAAGGCTCTTGATTGAACGGCTAGCCGAATCCAGACTTCTGATTGGTTGACAATTTCTTATTCAACAAAATTAATCGCTTCAAGGGGGTCGACGAGAATTTTTCCAGGGGTAAAAGTAATAGTCTGCGTATAAAACTTATATTTTGGAATCCTCAGATTCTCCTTAATCTGCTGAGCCTAAAATTATTTGATAAAAATGAGATTTAGAGGGTTAAATGAAGAAAATTCTAAAAAATAATCATTTATGGTGTTATTTCCAGAAACTGTTCCTACTTTGACGGGATTTTTGACCGACTTTTTCTGGCCAAAATTTTTGCTACTTTTCGCCGTTGTATTTTTCAACCCTTTTCTATTCACCAGTGATTTCATATTTTACCTATCTTATAAGGTTTTCCCGGATTATCGGTTACAAAAATCCCGAAATTCTCGTCGACCCCCTTAAATTTATGGCTCAAGAAATGTAAGATGGAAATAATTTTCGTCTTATTTTATTTTTTCGAAAAAATTGATAAAAAGGTCGATAACAAAGCAAATTTCATTCCATGGAAATAAAGTCGCCTTTGAAAACGCCTTAAAAAGAAACAGAGAGCATCACTTCCCAATCAACTGAATTGCTGGACCCTTCGACTTTAATCTTCTCCCGGGAAGGTCCTTCCGACGAAGACGAGAAAAAGAACAAAAAGAAGAAGAAAAAGGGAAGAAAGAAAACGAAGAGCAAGAAGGAAGAGGCCTAAAAACAACTTCTCTCGGAGAAGCGATCATGATCTGGCAGGACAAGTTTTCCAGGTAAAAATGCTTTTTAGTTCCGCATTTTGACTTTTTGTTTGTAGCTCGTTGAATCAAAATTTGGACAAGAAAAGATCAAGGAGCTGCTGATGGAGGGGAAAACTCTTAATTTTAAGAGCTTTTTGGCCACTTTTATCGATCCAGATTATACAGGAACGCTTTTTATTTATTTTATTTATCCATTCAAGTAGAATTAAAATTTGACAAAATTTTGCGTAGGCGGAGGCTGCTTATTGGCTAAAAATTTTCGGGGAGGTGTCTGGAACCGACAAAAAAATTTCGACAAATTTTGCGTGTACGGCTATTCGGCTGCTGATTGGCTGGTTTGCCGAATCCAGGCTTGTGATTGGTTGAAAATGTCCACGCAAAATTTGTCGAATTTTTTGTCGGTTCCAGAGTCTGGAACCGACATGTCTGGAATCCAGACATCTCCCCAAAATTTTCAGCGAAAATTTCTTTTTCATTTTTCTCTAGATTTTTGAAATTTCTGAATCAACAAATAAGAAGCTTCAAAAGACACGACAAAGATTGATAATTTCTTCGACTACGGTTGCTACTGTATGCCAGTCATGTTCGACAAAGACTCCTACGTCGGCAGAGGAGAACCAGTTGACGAAATCGATGCTCTCTGCAGGTATTATCAGGAAAAAGGCGTTCTTTAATGCTTTCAGGGACCTGTGGAGCTGCTACAAGTGCGCGAAAATCGACAGTACTGAAAAGCACTGCAAACACAGCATGACTTACGAGTGGTATCAGAAAATCAACGGAAACGTCAAATGCGGTGAGTTTTCCAAAATCATGATCCTCCTCGATCAAATCTTTCAGGAGACTCGAGCCACAACACTCAGTGCCAGAACGACCTTTGCGAGTGCGACGCGAATTTCGCCCGGCGTTTGGTCAGCGTCCAGGACGAAATTCGCAACGAGTTCAAAGTTTCGAACGGCTTCAAAAGGGAGGATCGCTGCTTGATCAAGCCTGAAAGAGGGCTGCCAGGAGCGAGGCCGCCAAAAGAAGAGCAAGAAGGCGAAGTTCAAAACCAAGTGCTGCGGCGAGAAATTGAGCAGAGTTCCGTATAATTAGGGATGAGACATTTTTAATCCAAAAATGAAAGTTAAAAATTTTTTCCATAAAAAATTGTAAGAAAAAATGACTCAAAAATAGAACTTTTAAATTCGACTGCTGCGCGGATCAGACAATCAAACCAGCTGGTGAATGTTAAAAAAATTTGAAACTGACGGAAAATTTTAAAATGATTCCTGATTAATTCTGTATACTTTTGTAAAATCAAAAATAGCTGTAAAATAAAGCTTTCGAAAATAAAACTCTTTTTCTTTTCTTAGTGGTTTTATTTCAGAGAACCATTTCCGTCTTTGACTGGAGACAGGACTGTGTTTCTCGCTCAGGACCTGACCTGAGACAGGTCCCTGTGTCTCCAATTCAAAACCCGTTTATGTAAGGCTTGAGTTTGATATATCGATGAATTAAATTCTATTCGATTTTTAGGTTCTTTCTGAAGGCCTGACTCAGGTTCTATTTGATATTGGCCATAACTGGGGTTGCGCCAGTGGGAAAATGGACTTTTTTGCACTTGACCTGGAGGGATGAAATTTTGTGGACATATTTCTGAGGTCCTCATCAAGAAAAAATCAAAAAAATTTTCGAAAAATTAAGGGTATAGGGGTCGAAAAATCGATTTTTTCATTTTTGCAAAATTAAGCCTGAGAAAACCTAGACTATCATTCTAAAAGCTCAAAAATGAATTTTTCGAGTCGAATAAAGTCGAAGCGAGATAAAGAATCCGCAAATAAAGAAATTAAAATTTAAAAACATTCAAATAAAAACCATAATAAAAAGAAAAACTTGAGTAATTTGTATTTCAACCTCGAATGGGTGTGGGTGGGGTTGGGGACATAACTGAGATTGATCACCTCAGAGTCCAACGCCGATCTCAAGCCCCTTAAATTTAAAAATCAAGGAACGGGGCTGAGACGGCCCGAAGGGCCGTCAAGCCCCTTAAATTTAAAAATCAAGGAACGGGGCTGAGACGGCCCGAAGGGCCGTCAAGCCCCTTAAATTTAAAAATCAAGGAACGGGGCTGAGACGGCCCGAAGGGCCGTCAAGCCCCTTAAATTTAAAAATCAAGGAACGGGGCTGAGACGGCCCGAAGGGCCGTCAAGCCCCTTAAATTTAAAAATCAAGGAACGGGGCTGAGACGGCCCGAAGGGCCGTCAAGCCCCTTAAATTTAAAAATCAAGGAACGGGGCTGAGACGGCCCGAAGGGCCGTCAAGTCCCCTTAAATTTAAAAATCAAGGAACGGGGCTGAGACGGCCCGAAGGGCCGTCAAGCCCCTTAAATTTAAAAATCAAGGAACGGGGCTGAGACGGCCCGAAGGGCCGTCAAGCCCTTAAATTTAAAAATCAAGGAACGGGGCTGAGACGGCCCGAAGGGCCGTCAAGCCCCAAATCAAGGAACGGGGCTAAAGCCCCTTTTAAAAATCAAGGAACGGGGCTTGGACGGCCCCTTCTTTACATTTTTGAGCATTATTTATTATATTTCTCCAAAGAAAGGCGATTTTCGGCCAAAACGGAAATTTTCAAATCGGCCGCATTTTCGTTGCCGGGCGTTACCGGACGAGATTAAAATGGATCTATAGAGAGTATCGTCTGAGCTTTCTTGTGGTGGTCTCCGTTTGGTTGTGGGTCGTTGTGGTTTCGAGTTATTCGACGAAATGTCCAAAATTCGTGGTATTTTTCCGAAAAATCGCGATTTTACCACCAAAATTCAAAAATTTCTAATTTTAACTATTTTTTATGAAATTTCCGCCAATTTTTACACATGGTCACGTGGTTTCAGAATTTTTTGAAAACAAACCATTTTTGGCCAAAATCCCACCAGCGCAACCCCAGGTATACCCTTAATTTTTTTTCATGGTAAAGTTCAGGCCCTAAGCTACGACCGTTTGCTTTTTGAGAGTTTTTTGTCTACGAACTTAAGGAGGACAGCCCCTTTAAAATTTTATTAGTAGAATCTTAGTCGAATTTCCAGATTTAAATTTTCAGTAATTACTGCCTAAATTGCCCTGAATTACGTTTTTATACTCGTGTTTATGATAGAAATAGTTTTTATGATTGGTATACCCTTAATTACCATTGAAAAATAGCGAACTAAAGATTTTTATGAAATGTTAAATGTTGATTTTCAATTTTTGAAGTCAATTTCTGCCAAAATTTTCTATAAGATCAAAGAAATTTTCTGAATAAAAGTTGTTCCTCGTGGTCTAAACTACCCAAAAAAGCAAAAAAATTTTGAAAATTTTGACTTTTTTCATCTTGATAGGGGGGTCCTTAAAATTATTTTTTTTGATATTGACGAAAAAGCGCATAACCTTAATAAGATAAATAAACCTCAAGTTCTTGTTAGAAAAAATCGTTTCTTTTACAAGAAGAGCCATCCTTTTTCTATGAAACAATCATATTCTTAAGAGGACAAATTTGGTTTCGAAGAAGGACAAGATATGCTTGATGCGATTGTTGAAAAACAGAAGAAAGAAATCGCCTTTTCGACATCTTTCGACGTTGTTTTTTTCAAATTAAAACTAAATAGAAACGTTTTAAGAAATTCGAAGCGTTTTGTCTGCCACATCCGGGAAAAATGAAGAATTTTGATGGCAACTTAAACTCACTCGACGAAGAGTTTCTCGAATATCTCAAGTCTTTGATAACTCAAATCATTGAGAATGTGCCAGCAAAGAAGAGTCTGGGAAACGAGGAGCTGAAAATTTCTGAAATTTTTGACTATTTCAGAAGCTATGCAAAAATATTCGAGAGCGGAAAAATGCCAAAAGTAGAAACAGTTCTTGAGACAAGGTTAGAAATATTTGTGAAAAACCCGGTTTAAGTGTGTCCTTTTCTAACTCTGCCATTAACAAATTTACAAGCGCGTAGCTTTTTTAAAACAACAAGCCCTTTCAATGCTTTTTAAGGAACCCCACCCCCCCCGTCAACAATTTTCCTCGAAAAATCTAAAATTTCAAAAAGCCATATTCTGGCTTCTTAGCGTGCCTGAAAGTTCAATTTATCGTAAAAACTTGTTCAGAGCACTTCTTGACCAATAAAGATCCAAAATTTTAGCAATCTTGGGACTTTTTCGTCATTTATCGTCATAAAGTCCGATTTTCAAACGCGATTTTGAGGGTGTTAGAGTCGAGATAGACCCCCAAAAAATGAAGCCTTAAAATCGTTTTTTGATACGTAGAATCCATTTCCGGGGTCAAAATTTTGAAATTCCGAAATTTGATTTTTCGAAAATTGTTGACGGGGGTAAGGGTCCTTAAGAAAAAGAAAACATAAAGAATTCTCAAAAATATTTTTGGTTTTATAAAATTTTCAAATCGATCTCACGCTTTAAACAAAAGGTTAAATAAATAACCCTTAACCACTCAATAACCCCTCAAACCCCACGGGGGAGGAGTGTCCTCTAAAAAATGTTTTTAATTTAAGCGCGAAAACCGATTTCAAAATACAATTGGAGCAGGCAAAAAATCACGTGGACAGCCTCATTGAGGAAAATTGCTCTGATGATTTTCTTGATTTCTCTTCTATTCAAGGGTGATATTTTTAATTGTTAATTTATCAAATAAAATATTGTAGACCGCTTTTTGAGAAAAACGAAAATCGCAAATTCTTCCTTCCTGAAAAATTCAAGGGACGATTCAGAGCAGAAATCAACGAATATATTATGAAGAGAATAGACGAAAAATTAAAGAATATGAAACAATTAAGAGATAACGAGCTAAAAACCGTCGAAGAAGAGAAAGAAGGGCTCGAAGAAGAGAAAAAAGAGCTTGAAGAAGAGATTGCGAATCTGGAAGAAAAGAATGATGAACTTGAAGATAGAGTCGAATCAAAAAATTTAACGATTGAGACGCTTCGAAAATCCCTTTCACAAGTGGAATCCGAATTAAAAGAAGAAAGAACATACGAGGAAGTTCTTTTCACCAATTCTGAGCGTTTACAGGGCCTTGGTATAATAAAATAGTTGATACAGCAATGAAACTAATTTAGGTTTTTACTTTGGTAAAGATGACGCCGAAACTCGACAGAGTCTCTCAAGCGAATCTCATTCGACAATCGCTAAGCATGTGAAAAATGGTCTGCGTCAAATCAATGTCAAAGTATGTTTTGAGTTTTTTAATTAAAATCAAACTCTTTCAAGTTTCATTTTCAATCATCTTACGACAATACGATCAATGGACTTCGAATAAGAAGCCCAAAACAGGGAGAAGATGGATCAATTTGGTATCTGTACATTACAAACAGCAATGGTGAAAATTATCAAATTTCTTTTTATCATTAATAAAGGCTCCTCAAAATTCCGAGCAATCGCCGAAAACATAGATCCCGAAACCGGAAAAGTGACTAGCAAAACAGACGAGATCTACAGCTCTGGTGAAAACGAACAATGCGTGACAACTCCTTTTGTTGGACCTGCTGGATATATCAGATGGAACATTCAGCTTTTTGCCAGATTAGAAAATGCAGTCTCGAATCTTCAATCTGAGCTGAAGGAAACAAAAACATTTAGCACAGTTTCATTCTCAAATTCGAACAGCTTAAAGGGTCTCGGTGGGGAATTCTACATGATATTTGTTGAAAATATATTTCAGGGTTTTATTTTGGCTAAGATGACAACAAAACTCGTAACTCACTCTCAAGCAATCATCATTCGGCGATCGCTATGCACGTCAAAAATGGTCTTCGTCAGATAAATCTCAAGGTAAGATATGAGCTGGAATTTAAAATCGAATCTTTCAAGTTTCATTTTCATTCATCTTACGACGAGACGATCAATGGACTTCGAATCAGAAGCCCTAAAAAGGGAGGTGGATCAACTTGCTATCTGTACATTACAAACAGCAATGGTAAGAATTCTCGATTTTCTTTATTCGTAAAAATTAAGGCTCGTCAAAATTCCGAGCAATCGCTGAAAATATCAGTCAAAAAACTGGAAATGTAACAAACAAAACAGACGAGATCTACAGCTCTGGCGGAAGCGAACAATGCGTTTCAACTCCTTTTGTTGGACCTGCTGGATTTATAAGATGGAACATTCAGCTTTTTGCCAGATTAGACAGCTCGATTTCAAGCCTCGAAGCGGAATTAAAAGAAGCGAGGACTTTCAACAAAGTTTATTTTTGCAATTCAGATAGCTTGAAGGGACTCGGTTAGCTCTATTTGAAAATCCTGATTTATTCATCTTTGAAGGATTTTATTATGGAAAGGATGATAATGATACAAGAGCGAAGCTAACTCATAACACAACAGATTCAAATGGAAAAACGTTCAAGAACGTCAAATTCTGCCATTCGACGATTGCTGAAAAAGTCAAGAATGGCCTCCGACAGATTAATTTAAAAGTTAGTTAGCGATCTTCCGAGTATAAACTAAAAACCATTTTAGTTCCATTTTAACGAGTCATACGATCGAACCTGCAATGGACTGAGAATAAGATGCCCAAAAATGCAGATTCCTCAACTTATTATCTTTACATAACAAATAGCAATGGTAGCGTCCTTTGATTTTCTTTTTTGTATATTTTAGGATCTTCTAAATTTCGTGCAGTCGCAGAAAATATCAGACCGGATAACGGAAATGTGACAAATAAAACAGAAGAAATTTACAGTTCTGGTGAAAGTGAACATTCTGTTTCAACTCCATTTGTCAGTCCAGGTGGTTTTATTCGCTGGAATATTCAATTTCTTTTCTGAATATTTTTGTCAATAAAACTTTTGCCTCAAATTTGTATTAAATCTTTGTAAATACAAATTTATTAGACTAAAAATTAATTTTTATTAAATTATAAATTTAAGATTATTTTTTACTTTAATTCTTAATTAAAAAAATAGTTTAAATTTTTAAATATTTTTTGATAAATTTTAATAAACTAAAAAAGTCTTCTTTATAATTTTTATAATTTTTTTTGTAATGATTTAAGTTGAACTTAAAATAATAAAATTTTTATTCGAAATTTAAATTTGTATTAAATCTTTTTAAATATTCAATTTCTTATCTAAATATTTTTAATAAAATTTATATCTCATTCTCTAAAGGTCAAAGCAAAGCTGCATAATTGATTGTTCTTGCGACTGTGGAAAGAGAGAGTCACATTCTAACTGCAGGTGCGCAAGGTCGCTTATCAAACATTCAGAACGAGTGGAATAGAGAGTTGTGTTCTGAAAGTCGCGCAAGCCGCCAATTTGCTCAGCCAGTTAATAAATTATCAAAGCAGAAAAAAAGAGTATTTAAAAAGCGGGCAAGTTCGCTTTCTCGCAGATCCAAAAAATGAACGACAAAGTCAAAGTATGCCCATTTAAGTTTTGTTTTCTTTAATTGAATTTTAAGTTTGCCGAGGGCTTCAAAGATGTCCAAGAGAGTTTCTACAGCATGTCGGCGGCGTTGCAGGTGTCGGAAGAAAAACTCGCTCGATCGCTGGAACGAGAAGCGACGCTCGAAAAGGAGCTCGAAACTCTGGCAGGGGAGCAGCAGCGAACGCTCGAAAAGTATCACGAGTTGAAGGAAAAATATGCAGGTACGGGAGTCACTGTTCGTTTGAAGCCGGAAAAAGAACGAATAATATTTAAGGACTCCCCCCGTCAACAATTTTCGAAAAATCGATTTTCGGAATTTCAAAATTTTGACCCCATAATTGGATTCTACGGGTCAAAAAACGACTTCAATTTTCGGGGATCTATCTCGACTCTAACACCCTCAAATTCGCGTTTGAAAATTGGACTTTTCGACGAAAAATGGCGAAAAGGAGTCAATTTTGCTAAAAATTTAAGATTATTATTGGTAACAAATTACTCTGAGAAGCCAAAATATGGCTGTTTTGAAATTTTCGATTTTTTGAGAAAAATTGTTGACGGGGGTCCCTAACCTGTGTTGTATTCAATTCAACCAATTTTTATCCAAGATTGTATAAAAACTCAAAGCTCGCTAAATGTCCGAATTTTTACAAATCAAAAATTTTTACCCGCCAGCTTCGCCGCAAGTAAGGCTTTAGAAGCCAACAAAAGCTTTAGACATGAAGGGCAAGCTTCGAAGCGTCATGACGATGGATCTTTCGGCGACGCCGATGCCGACCAAAATCGAGGTCAAAAAAGTCGTCGAGACGGAGATTTGCGAAAACTCGCCGACGCCGACTGAAGACGGCCGAAAATCTGTGGCGAAGAAGGAGTCGCGGCCTTCCAGTGGAAAGGGGCGCAAATCGGTTACTCCGGAAAAGACGAAGAAGGAGTCCAGACGAGAAAGTGTTTCAAATGAAGAATTGAAGAAGAAAGAGGTAAATTTGTGGCTCGAAAATTTAGGAAAATCGAAATTTTGACAATTTTGGAACAATCGCCAAAAATCCCCATATTTTTAGCAAAATTAATTAGCAAAAATTTTGACAAAAAATCGACAAAAACTTTAATACAGTATGTTTCCATTTTTCCGGACTAATTTCGTCCCCAGATTTTCAAAAAATGTCCGGAAAATTGGGTCACCTGCCAAAAATGCATGTCCCGCCAAATATACTTAAATTTTTTTCGAGAAAAAGGCATTTCTCAGTCAAGAAGTCGATTTTCCGCGAAGTAAACTTCTAGCTTCCAGAAATTGATGGAATCCTCGCCAACAAGCTTAACTAGCCCCTATATCTGGTACTCTCAGGATAGGGGACCGTAACTTCTAGTATCCCGGGTCAGTGGTAATAAAACCCATACTGGGTTGTAGAGTAGGCTCTGACGATTCAGAATATCAAAAAACCATCGTTAGGCCCACTCTGGAGGGCGCTAGAGGCTCTAGAACTTAAGGAAGATGGCCGAAAATCGGCACTCTTGGTCCCAAAAAGTACGAAACTGTTATTTCCTTCGACTGAAATACGTTTAAGGACGTTTTAAACCGATATTAATATATGAAAAAGTATTTTGGGGTGATTGAAGTTCACTTGAGGTCATATTTTACAAAAAAAAAGAGATTTTCTTGGGAACTCACCCCGGAATATCTCATATGATCCAGAAATACTTTTCTTACATATTTTTATCGATAAAAACGTTTTTCAGTCGAAGGAAAAACGTTTTTTCAGTCGAAGGAAATAACAGTTCTCTACAACCCAGTATGGTTTAATGGGGACCAATCTTATTTGATGCCGATTTTCGGCCATCATTTGATCCATCGAAATCCGAGTTCTAGAGCACTCTAGCAGCCTATCCTCTAATTCAGAGTGTAGAGCAGGCTCCATTCTACCAGAATCTGATCAGAAGTTGTGAACAGGGGCTCTAGTGAGAACCAGCGCCTGAAGAAGCTCAAAAATTGGGCAAAATATGGCTCGTGAATCAGACTCAGATTTCGCCTCAATTTTTCATCGTTTTTCGAGCTTCTTCGGGCGATAGTTCTCACAAGAGCCTCTGTTCACAACCCAGTATGGGCTCTATTAGTGCTCCACAGACCCGGATTTCGATACTAGAAGTCCCCACGGTCCCTTATCCTGAGAGTACCAGAAATTTGGCCCTTCGGAAGGCCAAAAGTGCCCCAGGGCATATGTTAAACCCCTGACTATAAATAGTCAAAATGATCCCCAGCTTCTGGGCTTTCTAAAACTGTATTATACTCCCTCCCTACTAAGCCCAAAAAAGCTCATTTTTCATCGAGTTTCCCTACTTATAATCGGAAAAGTGTCCGGAAAAATGGACTCCGGAAAAATGGAAACAAACTGTAATATAACTTGATAGGAACAGCCGAAATCACCCAAGAAATCAAGCCCTGCATCTCGACCGATTTCGCGAGCAAAAGAGCAGCAAAACGAAGAAAAATCAAAAACGACTTCTCGTCCAAGTTCTGGAAAGATAAAAGAAGCCGAAAAATCAGCGAAATCAAGCCGACCAACATCGAGCGCCTCAAAAGCTCCCGAAATCAAGGAAGAAAAAGTTGAAGAGCAAAAAGCTGAAAAAGAGGAAATTCCAGCTACTCCTCGACCAAGCATGGTTCAGGACAGAAATGAATCGGGAGGGGACGCCGTCGAGGAAAAGAAAAATGAAGATGATGGAGTAGAAAAAGTTGAGGAAGAAAAGAAGGAAGAGAAGGCTGAGGAAGTTAAAGAAGAAGCCAACGAAGTGGACACGGAAATAATCGGCCCAAGGGTAAGTCATTTTAAATTTTCAAAAAGGAGATGAATTGTTATCGCTTTGCATAGTCATCTAGGGCACTAAAACAGTACATCGGTAATTATTAATCGCTGGGTTAAGTGTACCCTCTGGGGCATTGTCGGGTAGCCATCCTTGAGGTACGCTTTTTTCAGTAATAAACACTTTGTCTCCCACAAAAACTCTTGTCGGAATGGCTTTTTCGAGCCTTTTAAAAGCAAGAAAAACCTCAAGCTGGTGAAATTTTGATTCAAAATCAGCTGGAATCAGAGGATTTTAAAAATAACGCAGGATGGACTCTTCCTGCTTAGAATTATTGAAAAATCAGCTGCTAGCAGAGGATTTTCAGATTTATTTTGCTTGCATTTGGTTTTCGTCAAGTTTAAGGAAAAATGTTAAAAACGGTCTTACAAGCAATTATATAACCAGGGGGGTCCTTTAAAATACGACCTTCGTCCTAGGGGGGGGGGGTTGGGTAGGAGAATGGCGTTCCTGAAATTAGGAACGGCTCCTAAAATTAGGAACGCCATTCTCTCATCCCCTCCTGGGGTCCCTAAAATATTACCAATTCAATGGAAAAGCGTCCCCTACAATATGATCAGACCGTGTTCTTGGGCCCCCTAAAATATGAATTCAAGCTCACGTACTGTACGAGAATCGTCAACGGGCAAATCAGAGAACGCGGATGCGCCAAGTGAGATTCTGTGTCCTTGACTTTGGATGCATATTTAAGGGGACCCCCAGAACACGATTTGATCATATTTTAGGTGCCGCTTTCCCAACGAGTTAACAATATTTTAGGGACTCCATAGACCAAGATTTGGTCGTATTTTAGAGGGCTGCCCTGGTATATTGTATTCCCTTGAAGAAATTTTCAAATCTTTAAAAAAGATAATTAATAATTATTAATTATGAGTCATAATTATCAAGTAAAGCTGTCAAGTCCTTTTCTAGCCAAACAAAAACGTCAAATAATTTCGGTAGGATTCGACTTCTGAAGAAGCTGAGAACGATGTGGGAAAGGAGTCAATGTCTGCTGAGTAATTTATTCAACACTCGATGTCGGAGCTTTGCGTGCAAGTGTTGTCCAATCTTCTGAACATTTTTAAATATTCTATTTATTCTACGAAAAGCGCTTTTTGTTGTCAATAAAAAATACAAAAGAAAATTTTCTATTTTTTTTTCGAGAATTCGGTCATGCTTGGTTTATTTTTCCGAAAAAGAACTTGGAAAGAGTGAAGAGAGGAATGCAAATTTACGAAGGAAGAAATGAACAGAAAGAAAAGAATTTTACTCCTGAGCTTTTTCGGATTCGATGTCTTCTTTTGAAGGGAGACGATCTTTGACGACTGTTTCGGCGGTTTTGAGCTGCTCTTTGTTGAAAGAAGCGATTGTTTGCATCGTTTTTTCAGCGTTGATTTCTAGAATAAAACGAACGATGAATAATTCTCTTCTCGTTCTTGCGAGCTGAGATCCGCAAAAAATGGCGCTTTGTCTTTTTTTTAGCCAGGTTCTGAGCAGCCAAAATGAAAATCCGGTCAAATGATAGAAAGCAAACCATTTCAATGACTTATTTGATAATGGTGAAGCCACTTCGTTTAAAAAAGACGCTATGCGGCTTTTCTTTAAGGCTGTTCAGAAAATTTTTTTACAAAATTTTTAAAGTCAAACTAGATTTTTTTTTTGGCTAATAAACACTGATTAGTCTCAAAAGAGACGTTTCAAGTAGTGAGACGATAATAAATCGTCTCTTCCGATATATCTTTCTGCGAAGTGTATTCTCGACATGAATTTTTTAAAAGAATACATTCTAGAACAAAATTTTTGCTTTTCCACCACAATTTTCTGCTGAAATTTTGAGTCGACAATAACAAATCTGCTCTAGAATTTGTCAAAACCCGGTGAGAGAACAGAGTGAACTGTTCACTGTTCACTCTAGAGTGAACAGAAATTCAAAATCTCTGTTCACTGTTCACTCTAAGAGTGAACAGAGAGAACAGTGAACAGTGAACAGCTCACTCTGTTCACTCTGAGTGAACAGCAAATTTCGAACCCTGCCTGACTGAGATTTTATACACAGGTTGCTGAGCCCAGGGATTCTTTGGAGGGGGTGGGTTGCTTTGTCAGAGAAGCCCCCAGCAGCCCCCTTTCCCATACGAGAGCTTGGCAGTCTGTGCAGAAAACCTGGGTCCATGAAAAAAATCTTTAATAAATACGGGTTTAAAAAACGCCGAAATAACCAGCTCAGTATTTTTAGCTAAAAATCTTCGGGGACCTAACGGGTTTAATTCCCCTTCTTCCAAACAATTGAGAATTTCGCCCGAAAATGCAAAAAAATGAATAATTTCCAAAAGGATGTTGTACCTGTCGATGAAGGAAGAACAGATTTTTCTGTTGTTTCTGTCTTTTTCAAAGAAGTTTTGTCAAATTTCTGCACTTCCACAATCGCTTTCGCCTGAATTCATGAAAAACGAAGAAAAAATAAATCTGCCTACTTCGGAAATAGTGTCTTTTTCAACGACTTTGACGTGATTGAGCTTGGATTTGTCGAAGGCAGCTGCTCCGATGATCGCTTTTTCTTTGTTCAAAAACTGGTTTTCGACCTTCGTTTCTACTTTTTTCAGCTTTGAGTGGTCGAAGTTTGCTGCTTGCTGAAATTTATTTGATTCAAGGAATTATTTCTTGAAATTACAATTTTGGACGATTCTTGAGCGAGAACAGTGGATTCGCTTGTCGTTGTTTTCTTGAGCGCAGTTTTGTCGAATTGAGCAGCGTCTACCACGCATTTTTCGCGGGTGATGTCTAAAATAAAAGATTTTTTTTCATGAAAGAGGATAAGGCGGAATTTCAAAAATAAAAAGGGGGGCCACAATTTTTACGAGCGAATTCTTCCCGAGGCCAACAATTACAACGGGTTCAATATTCTTACCTAGGCTCACATAGTATACGGGTTGCAGATTCTCGAAATGAATCGAGCGCCCGTGGCTCTTCGTTTTTTTTTCAAAAGTAAATTGGGCCTAACCCATTATAATTGTGGGCCTCGGAAAGAATTTGCGCGTTAAAATTGTGGGTGAGGTATCTGGAACCGAGAAAAAATTTCGACAAATCATGCGTGGAAATTCTCAACCAATCAGAAGCCCGGATTTGGCAGACCGGCCAATCAGCAACAGAGTAGCCGCCCACGCAAAATTTGTCGAAATTTTTTTCTCGGTTCCAGACACAATCCCAAATTGTGCTCCCCCTTTCTTATTTGGGTCGAAGATTCTGTTGATTTTTATTTGACTAGCCATTAGAATTTTTATGATAAATAATAAGAGGATCCTCTTTAAAATTACCTGAGGCAGAAGGAAGAACTGACTTTTCGGCGGTTTCGGCTTTTTTCAAAGTATTTTTGTCAAATTTCTCGACCGAGAGGATAGTTTTCGTCTGAAAGGAATAAATGTTCGATTCGGAAACTCTTGTTTACCTCAGTTAGTGTGTCTTTCTCGAGCGGCTTGACGTGATTCAACTTGGATTTGTCGAAAGCGGCCGCGCTCAAAATCGTCTTTTCTTTCGTCAAAAAGTTGCTTTCGCTTTTCACCTCAACTTTCTTCAGTTTTGAGTGGTCGAAGTTCGCAGCTTGCTGAAAATTGTTAAATTGGAACTGAAAAAGAAAAGTACCATTTTGGAAGTTTCCTGGGCGAGAAAAGACGATTCGTTAGTTTCAGTCTTTTTCAAGGAGCATTTGTCGAACTCGGCGCAATCAACGAGGACTCGTTCGCGGCTCAAATCTAAAAGAAAGCTAGAATCTTTGAAAAATCAAATGATAAATCGTCTTTTACCCTCTGAGCTTGGAAGAACTTGCTTTTCCTCGACGCTGGTTTTCTTCAAATCTGCTTTTTGAAAAGTGTTGATTTCCGACAAAACGTTTTGCGCGCTCATTTCTTTTCGCTGAATTTATTTTCTCAGTCTGAAAACAGAAAATTAGTTGCCTCGCTTTTTAAACGCGGGATCGGCCGGGCCAATTCATCGGCCAGTTCCGCTTCTAGTCATAAAAAATGAAAATGACAGGTTAATTAATAATGAGCTCGTTTTTTTGAAGAAAAAATTTAGGAAAATAATTTTTTTCTTAAAACATTATTTTTTTAAAGTTCGTGAAAAAAGTTTTTTTTTGATATTTTTTCTTATTTGAGCCGTTATCACATGATTCAATCGGAAAAACCCTGCGGAAGCGGATTCAATAGCTTTGCAAATTTACTTAAGTCATGTTCAATATTTCTCTTCTGCGGAAATTCTCTTGTTCAATTGAGTTTGCTGAAAAGCGGCCTTTGAAATCCCCTTATTTATGATTCTGCTTGGATTGTGAGTAAAGTTTACGGCGTGGGATTTATAAGGCCAGACGAGCTCGTGAGGAGCGATAATGAGTTAATTGTCTATTCGGTTTTGTCCCGTGGATAATCAGACTTTTTCGCGCATTGTTGTTTTCACGGAAAGGAATCATGTGATCTTTTCTGATGTTTTTACGAGTCTGAGTATTGTGGGACGGATTAACATTAATTTGAAACCGACAGTCATTAATTAATCAATCATAAAACCAATCTTCTCCTGTGAGTCGACTCTCAAAAAGAAAATCTAATAAAAAAGGCTCAAAAATGGGATTTTACGGGACAAACCAACAAAAGGAAATGTTAAAAAATGAAGTGACAAGCCAGGAAGTACATTTTCGGCAGCCAATAAGATCGCTGTATTTAGCCTAACGGCCAATCAAAACTCGTTTTCATTAATTTTGCTCCTGGCTCATCAATTTTTTTTATTGTTTCTTTTTTTTTGGTTTGACCGCTAATATCAGTCAACGGAAGAACATCAAAAGACAAAAAAAAAATAATAAAAAAAATAAAATCGAATTCAATTTATTCACGGCCAGCTTCGCTAACTCGGATTGATTTTTGAAATTATCACAAACAGACTGTTAAACGCGGAATCTTGAGCCAATTTCGTGGAATGCTTGCATGAGTACATCATAATCCCTTCTTGTAGCGTACGCGCTATTTCACATCATTCAAGGCACATTAGCCGACCGTCTACGGGCGTTAATTATCACAATTTTAGGACTCATCAATGATTACCAATCATTCTTTACTCTTATTCTTTTCTAGTTACAGTAACAATCTTTCTTATTCTGCTTCTATAACGATTCTCTTCCTTGATTCTTCTGGACGACCTTTACGATCAAGAAAACTCAACGCGACGGATTCCTGTATTTTTAACCAGAACAAGTTGTATGTTCTATCATCCCCAGCCGAGTTCCGCATTTGCGGCTTGACAGTGTGACCCCGTGCCCCGCGGGATGGCGCTGTCAGTAACTGCTCCTGGTAGGCGTTTTTGTTTGAAACACTTTTTTGGCTCGATTTCAGGGTGAATGGCTATCTCCTGATTTAACGACAAAACCGAAGCTTTCTGCAAGGACGACAACTTCTTCTTCAGCGACAACGACAATTGCTTGGACTGACTACGATTTTGGAAAATGGATTGATAACGACTCTTATCAAAGTGATATGGCCACATAGTGGGAAGTTGACCTTTGATAAGAATTTTTGCTCGGAATCGGCTGCTTTTATGAAAATGAAAACAACGAAGAAAACAAGCGCGCGAAAGTGCTGCGCCTTATTTGAAAAGAAAAACAAGTGCGCGAAATGCGCTCCGCCATATTTGGAAAGAAAGCCATCTGCGCGAAATGAAATTTGAAATTTCTGAAATTCTGAAAATCACTCTCTATCTTACCAAATACAAAAAGCGCCGATTTCCGAATTTTAGTGTCTCCCTTGCAAGTTAACTAGCTTAGAGATTAATAGAGCGGCATCAACCGCAATTTTCAGTCGAAATCTTCGAATTAAATAAGACTTCTTCTTTCTTAAAAATCTCTTCTTTGTGCAAAGGTCTCTCCAGCTGTGAGTCGGCCGTGGCCGAAAATCGCCGAATGAGGAAACGAGCAAAGAAAATGTTAAATTTGGTTTTAGCACACTGAATGATTCGAAGATTTTACTGCCGCGCGCCAAAACGAGACGGCCCGCGACGCACATCAAAAGACTCCATCTCGGCTCAACTATCAATCTTCCCGAAACAGCTCCGCGAAAATCCCCTGGAGTTCTGCCATCTCAGCCAAACTTTGTTTTTCGATGAAGAAGAACCTTAGCCTATATTTTTTGATATTTTTTCTTCAATTTTCAAAAGATTATTTTTTTTATATAAAAATTGGGCTGAACCATAGAAAGGAAGTTATTTATTAGATCTCGATTTTCATTGGCCGGTAGGTCAAATACAGCAAGCTTATTGGTCTTCCGAAAATGCACTTTCTTTTCTTGGTTTCCACTGCTATTAATTTGTGCATCCCTAAAATAATAATTTTCTAATAACAAAAACAGGGTGCCGTGAAATTACATCTTCCCCTTATTTTTATCGTCACCAAAGCCTTCAATCGAAAATAAAGCGAGAATAAAGAAAACACCTGATATTTAGCAAATTCGATTGTGACACCTCGTTCACGGAAGAAAATGTAATTTTAAGTATTGTTATTGAGAAACGAGCTGAGTGAAGCATTTTTACGTCTTTTGAATTCAGGATGGCTCATCAGTTTTCCTCGCGGCGGAAAGGGCGGATCAAGGAATTCTCAAAGCTCTTGAATAGATAGATCGGGCGGCGTCACATTGCGCTCTGCTCTTCGCTTTTCCCAGAAGACGAAATTGGGGCTAGATTTTAATCGCAGTCTTTATTACCCTTGATTGCGTTATGGAGCCAAAAAAATGGGTAGAACCAATTTTTGGAACAAATTTTTTATCAAAAGGGTTTTGATTAGCCGGAAGGCCAAATACAGAAATCTTATTGGCTATCCAAAAATTCACTTCCAAAAATTGGTTTAGTCCCATAAAATCGGGGATGGTGTCTGGAACCGACAAAAAATTTTCGACAAATTTTGCGTGGGCGGCTACTAGGCAGCTCATTGGTCGGTTTGCCGATTCCAGGCTTCTGATTCGGGGAGGTGTCTGGAACCGACAAAAAAATCCCGACAAAAATTTTCATTTTTTTCACGTAAATTTCAATCGTCCACCATTTTCTGCTGCGCTAACGAAAATTTCTCAAAACTGCCTAGAAATGTCCATTGTGGCCTGAAAAGGCCATTTCTGCATAGTTTTAAGAATAAAATCTTCTCAAAAAATTTTAAGAGTATTTTTTTCTGAAATGTCTTTTTTTTTAAATTTTTGTCGGAATTTTTTTGTCGATTCCAGACGCCACCCCTCTGATTCGATGAAAATTTCCACGCAAAATTTGTCGAAATTTTTTTCTCGGTTCCAGACACCATCCCAAAAATATCGCCTTGCTTTTGAATAACAACTGCTCTTAAACAGAAAGTTTCTGTAAAACTAATAAAGGCGAGGCAGGAATCAGGGTATGAAAATTGAGTACCCGTGGAGCGCGTCGATTAGCGTTGAAAAATGCTATCAACGTCCGGTTGCTTTTTTTGGAGCAGCTTTGATTACGCAGCGCTCGTCAACTTTTCGCGAAACTAAACCAGCGGCGCAGTGAACGTTATGATTGCTTCTCAGCTTCAAGAAATGCTCAGCTGAGGCTGCAATGATTATTTGAATATTAAGTTTTCAATTCTAAAGAAACAAATAAAAATGACATATTTTTTATTCGAAAATGCAAGTTTCGAGCGCCGAAAAGATTGAAAACAACGTTTGCAAGGCGAAGTTGCGTGTTCTTGTCGAAAGCAATGTCAAAGTCGGGAAAGAAACACGAAAGCGGGTAATTGCTTAGCGGCGGCGATCTCATCAAACTTACGACAACTTATCAAACTTATCGATAGAACACAAACTCTGGTGCCATAAGAACGCGGCCGATTAACAAAGTGCATCAAGTGTGTTTCTAGCGGAGCCCGCTCGTGTGTCGAACGTGTTGTAACAAGGGCCAATTATTTTATCGTCTTTGATGAAAAGCGAAAGTGCAGAAGATACGATTCGAGAGTATTATAGTTTACAAATTCGGATAATCGAGTTTCTTTTGAAGAATTATTATTTTATAGAATTTATATAGTGAAATGAAAAAAAAGGAGGGCAAATTTTTTCTTGGATATTTCATCAGGAACTTTTCGGAAAAGCTTAAAAATTGAAATAAGAATAAATCATTCTGAATGATTATTCTACTTACACAGTGACAGAAGCCAAACAAAAATGCCAAAGACGAAGAGACAAACGATCAGACTTCCGAGAAATTCGCCGTCTATTTTGAGGCAGTCGCCGTTTGTTTCGAAATCCTCGCTTCCTGAACTATGCTGTTTTTGGGCGAAACTAAAGCTCTTGTACTGCAGATTTTCATTTTAAAAATGAGAAAATCGCGAATTAAGAATTGTTCTTTTGATTTTCAAGTTTAAATCACCTTTGTTCTTGTGTGCTTCTATTTTTTCTCGCTCAACATGATCGGCAGTAATTTCTAGGTTCTGATAAACTTGTTTTGTTTTTTCTATCGTTGATCCTTTTTCCACGTCAGAAATCATTTTTTGGAAAGGAAAATCAGAAATCTCGAAGCTCAAGAAAGCAGTCGAATTTCAGCAAACATGACTCAGAATATTTAATTTCTAACTCAAATATTTGTCTTTGCAATTGATTGCTTTTGCGATCGACCGTTGCGTTGGATAAATTCCCAAGGAAAGATAATTGGAAAATGAAAGCCGCAAGAACGGATAGTCGAAATCCGCAGGAACGTCTCGAACTGATTCGCATTCGTGCCTTCCGGAAGTGCGACACGGAATCGCCGAATTTTACCGAAATGAATTCTTTTCTTTTGAACTTGGAAAATCTCTAAGGAAAATTGGTTGAGTCACAATTTTAGAATTTCGCTTCTTGGAATGACAAGAACACGAGTGCGGCGGTCTCGATCATTCTTTGTTTGGTATTTCCGATGGCGCAGTTTATTTTCGCAATTTCCGTCAAGGATTAAAAACGGGTTTTCGCTTGTTCTTCGTTTCGGCGAAGATCGAGGGCGATTTAGACGGAGGATTCTTCTGGACTGCCAGCCTCATTTTCAATTGACTAATTTCCGTTTTGAGATGAAGAAAATGAAAAATGAAAATTTCAAAAAGTCAATTCCTGAGTATTTGTTTTGTGAAGCGCTCGTTTTTGCCACTTCTCTCTCGGCCGCTTTCCTGGCTGCTTTCTCTTGCGGCAGACGATTCGCAGGAAGAATTTCTTTATTCGAGTCCCTGAATGTTTTTGAGAAAAGAATGTGTTATGAAGGACCCCCCGGCAGCTTTCTCGAAAAATCAAATCTCGGAATTTCAACCGGGAATAGATTCTACGGGTCAAAACGGGGGATCCCTTAAGGCTTTTTGGGGGTCTATCTCGACTTCTATGCCCCCAAAATCGCATTTGAAAATTGAAATTTTCGCCGAAAATTGACGAATTTTCCCTGATTTTCGCAAAAATATTCATTTTTCTTGGTCAAAAATTTCTCTTATCAAGTTTTTGAAGTAAGTTTAACCTGATGACGTATTCAGAATCAAGAATATGGTGTATTTTTAATTTCCATTTTCATAGGAAAAAGCTGACGGGGGCGGGGGGTCGTTAACTTACATTGGAAGCGGTCTTTGTAGGTTTTCTTTTTCTCGACTGTCGTTTTGTCCAGATTGGCGACCATTGCTTTCGTTCGCAGCCGGCAGCATCTAAAATTTTTGCAAAACAAAACTTGGTTTTTACTTTTGGCAAAAGCAATATTTTCCGTAAAGCTGTGTCATTGTCGCCGCCGAGAGCTAAATCGTGAAAAAGTTTGTCCCGCTTAAAAGTTGCGATCGAATTTTGAGCACCGAAAATGGCGATAGAAGATACAGATTCCTTACGCTTAGATTTGGCGCTTCTCCAAAATTCTTTTCGAATGCGGAAAACCGAAGCCGCGAAGAAATACATCGTTTCCGCAGATGTTCGGCCGTCTCCAACGAGTTTAGCATATTCGAGGGTGCGTAACGTTCCACGAAAAAATTACCCGGTCGGAGCATGTTTGGCGGATCTGTCAGAGATGTTCCTGGCACGTCGCTTACAAATCAGCCCCCTCCTTCTCCTACAAATCCATTTTCAGCTTAGTCTTGTTCGGCGAGCTGGCACCATCGTTTCACCAAGTGCTTCTTTTAATCTTGAGTCATCTTCAATTTTTCGTTGAGACAAAGACCTTTCGTTTCAACTCTTTTTATAACGAATTTCAAAAAATATTCTTTTTTGAAAACCGGCTACTGTCTGAAATTCTTCTCAAAAAATTTTTGAGTTATTTGGAGTGATCCTTTATTTTGGAATCAGCTCGGTTTATTTTGAGAGGAACTGCAAGTCGCTTGAGCTGTGTTAGTCTAACTGGTGCGGAGCTAACCTCGCGGTCTTGTTAAGCGGTTCAGGGCGGGCTGAGCGGAACTTCCCCGAAATCACTCGTCGTCTGATAAGAGGAAGGCCCCAGAGAGGAATTCTATAATGCGCTGCTACAAAATTCACCACACTGCTCAAACAAAGGCTTAAGGGACCTCGGGGGTCACTTCACAATGCACTCGGCGCATTGGCGACAGGCAAGGGCACTTTTCGCAACTAAAATTCAAAGAGATAATTGAGGTGACATTTACTTATTTGTAGTTTTTTTTGGAGCAGACTCTGCTCAGCAGAGTATTATTTCTTTTTTTAGCGGAAAATTCTAGAAGGGAGGAAATGAAAGATGTCTGAGTCTGATAGAGCTGAAAATTTCGGGGAGGGTGACAAGGAGCAAACCGCAATCTCCGGCCCCTGGTTTTATAGGAACCGGTTGCAACAACTTTTTCAGACTTATCTCATCATCGCAAGGTTTAAGTACAATCGCCCATTATTTACAGTAACGACATATTCTCATGAAACTGTGCTTTCATGATTAAGGATGAGTGTCTCCCCATGCTATAATTAAAGAAAATTAACGGTGTCCAAAGATTTATTCTTTGAGAAAAATTGGCATTTACGATTTTTAGCAAAGAAAACTAGAAATTTTCGAGTATCATTCGAAGGCTTCATTCATTGGTCAATCCTTTATTGAAAAATTTAATTTTTTTGCCAAAGAGGGCTGTTTTTGTTCGATTTGTGACGGTCAGGCGAGAAATGACGACAGCTCAGAATTGCAGAATTTCCGCATGTTGCCAAATTACGACGAAAGTATTTTGGTGAAAATACTTGAAACAAGGTGGGCAATGAATAATTGCCACTTCTTTCAATTATTGGCTTTGACGGTGTGGTCACATTCTCCATATCTTTTTTTCGTATTTCTAGGTCAGTCTGAAAACTTTTTTTTAAAATGAATAACTGTCTGAAATCTCTGCTTCTAGAATCTGTAGCAAAAATTTTCGACCTGAAAGACCGATTTTTTAAAGCCAGCGTTAAATTGATCTAACATAATTTGTCATCGTTTTCGGGCTTTTTGCTCAATCCAAGCATAAATTATCAGCTCTAAGAAAGCCGGAAAGAAGACGAGCTAGACCGAATCATAATTATTGGCCGATTTCTTTGCTAAGAAGATGTTTAATAAACTCAACATGAAAAAGTTAAGACACTTGAAATAATTTGAAGAAAAACTACTTCACGACGAAGTTAAGGACACCCCCCCCCCCGTCAACAACAATTTTCAAAAAATCCCTTTTCGGAATTTCAAAATTTTGACCCGGAAATGAATTTTACAGATCAAAAAACGATTTTGAGGCTTCATTTTTTGGGGTCCATCTCGACTCTAACACCCTCAAAATCGCGTTTGAAGATTTGACTTTTTTGACGAAAAATGCCGAAAAAGTCCCAATTTTGCTGAAATTTTAGATTTTTGTTGGTCAAAAAGTGGTCCGAACAAGTTTTTATGCTAAATTGAATTTCAAGGCATTCTAGGAAGCCAAAATATGGCTTTTTTGAAATTTTCGATTTTTTGAGGAAAATTGTTGACGGGGAGGGGGGGGCCTTAAATAAAGAAATATTTTTCTAGCGCGTCGAAACTTATTTCCTTATCCCGACATTGGCGCTCTTCTAAATGACAACCAATCTGATAAGAATTTTTTCCTTTTCAAAAACTACTTTCGCTTCTTCGTTTTTCTTTTTTTGGCAACAAGCGATCGGTAATAATCCTAGTCAAGCGACAGCAATTTTCAGATTGCAGTTCTTCTGCTGCTTCGTCAAGCATTTTCTAGAATAACGTGACTGGCCGGGCAGAATGGGTGTTTGTAGTGACTCCACCCGATACTTAACTCGCGCAAAATTAATGTTTTCATTACATCAGAGGGCTTTGAGGTTATCCAGAAGTCTGACTGCTTCGATACTTCTTTCATTTGCAGAAATCACACAATTGAGCGAAGCCAAAATAAGAATTAATTTCTTGCCGCGTCATCGAATTTAAAATGGAAGAATCGTCGAAGCGGTCGTAGCTTAGGCCTTGACTTTATCCAAAAAAATAAGGGTTTAGCCCAATTAAATTCCAAAAAACCTTAATCCAGAGAGAATCATATGGGTAATGGTTCCAGTCGAGGGTTGGATCTTAATCTAGCAATAGAAATTAAGGGTCTACCTTAAATAGTTTTTGATAAAACTTTCAGTTAAGAGCCCCATTTAAACGATTGTTGATTGGAGTTGGGGTTCGTCAGCTTTTTTCTTCGGAAAATGGGATTTTTGAAAACGCCATCTCATATGGTCCATATGGGTAGGCTTTCCGCACTAAAATAGCTAGAACAGGGCTAACCCTTGTGAATTACATCTTCTATATGGTTTTTTTATTCGTCCTCAGTTTAAACTTGCTTTGAAAAGTTGAAAGGCGAATATTTGACCAAGAAAAATCGATATTTTTGCCAAAATTAGAGCTAACTCGTCAATTTTCGGCAATAAATCCGATTTTTAGGGTGAAGGAGTTGAGATTGACCCCCAAAATGAAGCCTTAAAATCGTTTACCCAAAGAAATTCTTTGGATTATCCATTTCCGGGGTCAAAATTTAAAATTCCGAAATTTTACTTCTGGAAAAAATAAGACCGGGGGAAAACTGTAAAACTATGAAATTTTTGTTACAAAAAAGATATTTCATTCACTCATTCTGCTTATAAAATGTTAAAATTGGAAGTAAGTGTTTGCCGGAAAAGAGAGTAAAAATGCAAACAAAGTGGCTCCCCAACGTGTGTCGTAAAGTGCCCCGCTCCCCTTGTTGGATTCTAGAGGTTTCGCAAGGGCGCGTTTGCGCGATGGCGCCAACGAGCGCGATTATCGTGAAGTCCGTTTTGTGACATAATTCGCGAGTCAGCTAAATTGAACTGGCCCCTGAACCCTTTTCCCAGTTTTCCTTCACTTGATAAAAAGTGAAAGAAAACAAAAATATTTGATTTTTCGGAGAACGAATTCTACAGCTATTTCGAAGATTATTTTCGAAGAAAATAGAGAATAAATTCGAGAAATGAAGATTTTCACTTTTGCTCTCCTTCTGGGGAGCTTAATAAGAGATGCCAGGGCCGAAGACTTTTTGGCGGAGATTCTCAGTGGAGATTTGGATAGGAAACGGTTTACAGAGCTCAAATTTTTTTAATGAATAATTTAATAATTATGATTTTCTTATAATTTTTTTTAAGAATAATCTTTTTTATAAATTTGATATTTTTTTTTTATTTTGATTTTTAATTCAATTTTCTAGTGACTTCATAAATTATATCTACGGATGCACCAAAAAAATTCCCTTTTGAAAGCTGGAGTGTTTTCGTAGTCGGGAGAACGTGAAGCGCGTCCATTCGAAGATGCCGCCCGAGCCCGTCTTACTAAAACTAATCCCGATTTTCGGCTGATCAGGCGATGACGAAATTTTTGAGATTAAAATTTGAGCACTGCGAAACCGGTCGAAAGTTTAAAAGATGGAAAATCTCAATCGACGGAGACGAGTCAAGTGAGACCGATAAACTCGAACGAGATGAACAGAAGAATCAGGAAAGTATAAAAATATTAGATAAGATGATAGACTTAAATTTTTTTTGCAAAAAAATTTTTTGTTATTTTGTGAAAAATAAAATTCTTGAATTTTTAACTTTTCAAATTTTAAGCCATTTTTTCGCAAAAATATTTCATTTTTTTCAAAAAAGTCTTATTTATACGAAAAAAAAGACAAAAAGTGGCGGGTGGATATTTCTCGGAAGCGACTTACAAAGAATGCATCGCTGATGAACTCAATCGAGCAGGAACGGTGTTTTTTATTTTAGAAATAAAACTGGCTGTAAGATAAAATGATTTATTCGTCAAGAACTGTAATGTGACAAGAATCAAGTGCGGCAAATGCAAAACAGTTGTGAATTCGAAAGAAGCACGTTGTTCTTCACGTAATTTTCTTGTCAAGTCCCCGCAGCACAATGTTTACACAAATGCCCGCGAAATTTAATGGGCGCCAATTTTTTGGACAGGTTTAACCTAAAAATATTCCCGCAAACTAAAAAAAGAGAAAAACTGAAGAAAGCAGGTTGTTACGTCTAATTCTGGAAAGTCATTTTGCTTGAGTACCCTTTTGCTCACGTAAGTCAAAACGACAAATTGCTACAAGCATACCGAAAGTCACGTGAGGCGCGCAAAAGCGGCGGACAAGGGCGCGTTTCTTCAAAATGGCGGAAACTGGTTTAGACCTTTTTTGAATGCTCGTTTTCTTAAATCTTAATCTAAAAGACGATTCTTTCGGCCTTATTTTGGAGAGTTGTCTTGAACCAACAAAAAACTCGACAAATTTTGCTTGGAAATTTTTAACCAATCAGAAGCCTTGATATGGCAAACCGGCCAAAATGAGTAGCCGCCCACGCAAAATTTGTCGAAATTTCTTTGTCGGCTACAGAGAAAATCCCCCTTTTTCTTAAATAGCTCTTTCAAAGCGTGCTTCAAAGAAACTGACGTGAAGACATCTTGAAAAGGGATAGATTACGCAGCGCACCCTCATTTTACTCACTGTTTAGAGTGATAATAGAACGAGGCGCTTTCAAACTGGCTGCTGTGTTTATCAAACTCAAAAAGATAAAATCATTCAATTCCAAGAAGACTTTTTTTACTAAAATTTTTGGTTTTTTTTTCTTTTCAAAATTCCTATAAATATTCGGGCGTCTGGATTCCAGACTCTGGAACCGACAAAAAATTCGACAAATTTTGCGTGGGCGGCTGCTCGGCTGCTGATTGGCAGGTTTGCCGAATCGAGGCTTCTGATTGGTTGAAAATTTCCACGCAAAATTTAACGAAATTTTTTGTCGGTTCCAGACACCAGCCGAAATATCGTAATATAATCGTCCGTTGAGTCAATTCTAGAGATGATCAATCAAAATCGATACGTTGCAAGATGAAAAGCTCGTTAGTGTCGATTTGATGCATCTTCATTCGTTTTCGTTGAAAATCTCGAAATCGACTATTTTCTTTAATTTTCAAAGGGAAATTTTTGCTTGAAAATGCGGTTAGAGATAAGCTCACAGTGAATTATTCGGGGCGGAAGGAAGACTTCCTCCTCTCAAGTGTATCTCCAGGCTCGTACGCTTTGGGGAAAAACGGCGCCTAATCCTAAATAAATTTTACTTTTTCTTCCGGCGCCGATTTCGAGAAAGTAAAACGTGATATTTTTTATCTTTTCGAGAAATCTTTTTCTTTTTCAAAGTTCTTTAAAACAAACGAGAAGCGAAGCTGGTAAGACGCCATGCAAGAGCAAGATTCTGCGGCCAAAGCAAAACATTTTTTCAGAGAAACGTTATTTGCAAAATATTTTGACCGCCAACAAGTGTGACTCATTTTTCTCGACGATTAAACGATATTATTTCAGTTTTTTAAGTACTTTTAAAATAGTTCAAGTCATTTCTTATTTATTCTATTTTTTAATTTTTAAAAATATTTTAACTTTTTATTAATTTTAAATTTTCAATTTTATTAATAATTTTATAAGAAACTTTATTTTTGATTTAATTTAATTTTTTGTTATAATTTAAATAAATTTTGAATAAAGTTTCAAATAATAAAACATGATATAAAGAAACAATCTTTGAAAAAACCTTAAGGATATAGCCTTGAATATTGAACTTTCGTACACCCGAATCCCTGTTACGAATTCATTCATTTTTCAAATTACCCTACCTAAAATTCATCGTTGATTTCGAAAATGACCTTATTTTCAGTACTTTCTAGGGTAAGTACCTAAAAATCGACTTCAAAATAAAACAGACCGTCGTTCTCTGAAAAATTCCATTAAAAAGGTAAATCTAGATTGATGATATGAAAGACTGAAGCCTTATCTCCAATCTAGCGGTGGATTTTGTAAAAATATTGAAGATTACGGCTTCTAGTAACTGGTTTATGATTGTACTCCGAAATGGAGAGTGGCGCGCGCTGCAAATCAGAGCGAGGGGAGAATCTCAGTAAGATTTCGTTCAAGCTGTCGACAAAATTTCTCGTGTAAAATCGGATGAGCGATGGCTGAGTGAGATTTTCCCTCGCTCTCATTGGCTGCGCGCGCCACTCTCCTTTTCGAAGTACAGTCAAAAACCAGTTCCTAGAAGCCGTAATCTTCAATATTTTTACAAAATCCACCGCTAGATTGGAGATAAGGCTTCAATCTTTCATATCATCAATCCAGATTTACCTTTTTAATGGAAATTTTCAGAGAACGACGGTCTGTTTTATTTTGAAGTCGATTTTTAGGTACAAACACCATTGAAAGTACTAAAAATAAGGGTTTTTTCGAATTCTACGCTAGATTTTAGGTAGAGTTTCTTTGAAAAATGAATAAATTCGTAACAGGGATTCGGGTGTACGAAAGTTCAATATTCAAGGCTATATCCTTAATTGAATTGTTGAGATGCAATAACCCCCAATTGATGCAAGAACCACGTATTGAGTGAATTCATTGAGCGGGGATTGCTTGAATACCACAAAAGAAAAATGCCACTTTTGGTCGCTTCTGACACGATTGACTCGAAGCGCGGTCCGGAACGGTAATTTAACGTGGCGACTCTTGTCCGAAAATATTGGAAAGGGATTAATTGAGTAAGAGAGATGGCTTCTGTATTGAGTTGTTTTTTTTTATTATGAATAATTGCAAAACACTTTGTGAGGCTACAAACCGCTGGAAATTTCGACAAAGCTATGGAACCTGGAATACGAGCTCAAATCGGCGCCCGAAGAAAATCAATTCGTCGCTTTGGAAATTTTCTCGCGTGAAAAAGACTCAGGCAGGGGTTCAACCATTTTCCACTAATTATGTGTTTTGTGATAAATCGGACTTGAGCTGGTTGAGACTCTTATCAGTGCCTATTATTATGTCCGTGCCGCTGATGGAGACCTCTCAGATCATCCCACTCGAGATAGCTTCTGCCTTTCGGATTAATTACAATCTGACCGGAGCCAGCATGAGCGTTTTCAGGAAATTCGCCTTGTACCCGGTCACCGACGACAACGAGGAGACGGATTCTTTCAGACTCCAGGTTTTTTTCATTTTATAAAATTTTTCAGAATTAAAAAAATAAATATTTATTTTTCAGAAAAAAAAATTAAAAAGAAAATTAAATTAAAAAAATATTAAAAAAAATATTTCTCTTTTTAAATTTTCTTGAATATTCATTAATAAAAATATAATTCAGTCGCTGCTAAAATACGCGCACTGCACAGAAATCCGCCCAATCGTCTCTCTTAAAGGCCTGCGAGTCGGCTGCGAAGACATCGAAACCGGCTTCTTTGAATTTCCCGCGATTCGGCTGGGTCGGGCGAGTCCGTTCTCGAACGAGTGTTTCCGGAAATGGGACGGCAACGTTATGAGAATCGGGAAGCTGCAGGTCTATCCGCAGGATCACTGTGGCTCGAACGCTGTCAAATTTGCTTTGGAAACTTGCGCAGGTTTGTTTTTAAAGGGACTCCCATTGCGTAAATATCCTCAGCCACTTTGCAGAATATTCTTAATCCTGAGGGTCTGTACTTGCCTCGACAAGATAAGACACCCTTCTAGAGGCAGTTATATCCAACGAAATATCAACTTTCTTAGACCCGAATTCCTACGGCTGCTACAACGGCTTTCGAATCCTTGAACAGGCCTGCGACTGCCAAGGAAAATCGCGACTTCCTTACGAGCTTCTCCAACCGACGAATTTGATGCTCAATGTGGACTACTACTTCAGAGGTGAGTATAAAATTTCGACGATTTTTAAGCCGGAGAAAACCTGGGATGCGAATATGGCGTATGATTTGTCAGTTTCGAATGTGGAGTTTGACTCCATCGAAGTGAAGCCGGTGGAAAGCAACAGTAAAACTACAGGAACGCTCTTAATTAAAAAGCCACAGTAAGAAAAATGAGTCATCACATTCGACTTTCATTTAGAAAAAAAAATCATAAAATCCAATTTTTTTTTTTGACGGTAAAATAACAAAAATTTAACTACATGCGGCTCTTGAATAATTTATGAGCATGATTGAGTGTGTCAACCAATGAAATTCCTTCGATTGCAGATGGTCACCAACAATGGCAGAATCAATCCGATTAAACCGATTCAATGCCCTGAACTGGACTGGTCTCTTAATTGCGAGCCCTCCCCTTATTTGGACGATGTTTGTGTTCGTAAAAAAGGTAAATTACAATCGAAAAAAGTAGCTATTGATTCATTAGAATTGTCTTTGACATATGACGAGACGAAGAATTCATTCGAAAATTCGCCTCTTGGAAGCCTCTGGGGAAATTCAGCGAGACCAGTGGAAAGCCAAATCGCAGAGAGACTTTATTCGAGAAACAATCAAGCCCAGAAGAAGAAGAATCAAAATGCGAAAAATAGAACTCGCGCTCAAGACGCTCCGAATCGCAAACCAGTGACAGAAAATCCAGAAGAAGCGAGAACTGGCTCTGCGGAAGTCGACCGGGAGGGAAAACGTAATAATCTTGCGCCGGCTCAAAGGGCGCAGCGCGGAGGAAGAGGCCGGAAAATAAGAGAAAGGATCATCACAACGCCGGAACCAGAAGTACGGGAAACAACTGAGGATCCACTAGCAGCATTTTTCAAAAATGTTATTGGAACTAAACCGGAAACAACGACTACAACAACAACGACGACTACCTCAAGATCATCAACTACACAGACAACAACCACAGCATCATCACCAAAAACATCAACAACATCAACAAAAACCACAATGACCACGTCAACAACTCCACCAACCACTACAAAGACATCAACATCAACAACTACAACCACAACTACAACAACAACCACAACTACCACTGAAACTACAACAACAACAACAAGAACAACTACAACTACAACTACAACAACATCAACAACTACGATATCAACATCGACAACGACGACATCGACAACGACAACGACAACATCAACAACCCCAGCACCAACAACCACAACAACTGCGACAACAACATCGTCCATGCCGGATCCAACTACAACAACATCAGTGATAAGCGAAATAGAGACGTCAACAGAGTCTTTTAATGAAGATTATTTCCTATCGAGTCAAGAGTATGAAGAAGAAAAATTCGAAAGTGAGTTTTCTCAAAGTGGAATGTTGATGGACGCTCGAAACTTTGAAAACAACGAAGAAGAAATTGAATATGAAGAGGAAGAGGAAGAAGACTACGAAAATGATAATGAATCAGAATCAGTTGAATATGAATCTGAAATAGAATCGGATGACTCCAGCTATTCACAAAGCTCTGAATCAGAAAACGAGGGCAGTTTTATGCAAATGGATGTGAGACTCCCAGCCGAAGACGAATCGGAATTCCCGGAGTCACTTGAACCCTCCGACTATGACGAGACTGAAGAAATAGAAGAGGAAGAAAGTGAGGAATCCAAAAACGCTGATTCAGCGAGCTTGATTGACTCACAAGAAAAATCAAGAGATTTTTCGGAAAAAGCTGAGGAAGAGAACGATGAAAACAATTCAGAAGAGGAAGATTTGCCAATGCTCTTGGATATTCCATCCATCGACATTATTCCGGAATCGGAAGAAGAAGCAGTCGAAATTGCCGAATTCCAAGAAGCCGAGCAACAGGCGAGAAGCTTGTCTCTCGGACTTGTTCCTCGAAATCTTGCCTCCTTCGGAGTAAGATCTCTTTTCAAAAACGCTTCCTAATAATTTTCTAGTGCACACACTGCTTCGCCCACAACATGACTGAATGCCTCAACAGCGGAACCTACTCGCCCTGCCAAGAAAACGAAGTCTGTCAAATTGAAGTTCGAAAACGGAATGGCGACGTGAGATGGGTCGGCATGCGGTGCAAATCCATCGAAGCCTGCTACGACAACAAGTACAAATAATAAGCTTATCAGGGAATAAATAAAATTTCAGAGCTCAAAACTTCATCGGGAAACTGGCGGACCGTCAATGCAGACCCACTTCGACAAACAGTCCTTCTGTTTGCCGACAATGCTGCGCGACGGACCGTTGCACCGACAATTTCAACCCGCTGACGCAAACTGGCTGGAGAATGGAACTGATAAACTAGTTTCATTTTTGACGAACTGTAAATTCATCTTTTAAAATAATTGTAAAAAGTCAATTTAACTGTACATTTTCTTAATAAATTTATTTTATCTTATTATAACTATGACTAAATCCCCTCTAAAAAGCTTTATTTTGTATTTTATTTGGATGAAAATCACTTTCGAGGGTAAATATTTCTGGAAATGAGTTCCTTCATGATTTCCGACGTTCCAGCGTAAATCGAAAACACCCGCGCTCCGGCGTATTCTTTGGCGATGTCGTATTCCCACATGTATCCCCAGCCGCCCCAGTGCTGCAGCAATTTCGAAACGCAGGAAACGTATTTCTCCGTGGCGTAGAGCTTCAACATGCTCGCTGTTTCATTGTCCAACTCGCCTTTGGCGTAGAGTCGGACGCACTCGTCCGCGAGAAGGCGCACTGTCACGATTTCTGTCTTGATTTCCGCCATCGAGTGCTTGATCACTTGCTTGTGCGAAAGGGGGCTGCCGAAAGCTTTTCGCTCTACAAAGAAATATTATCATATTTTAAAACCAACGAAACCTAGCGTGTACTCTCGAGTTCGTTCGAAAGCGCCTTCAAGTCGAGCACAGGCTTCCAAAGCGCATCCAACTCGTTCGCGTGGAAGCTCGTTCATCATCATGTAAAATCCCTTGTTCAACCCTAAAGAACTCTTTCCTGGCTTATCACTTCAAAGAGCAAACCTTCTTCTTCGCCGAGAAGAGCACTTGCCGGAAGCCGCACATTGTCGAAAAAAAGCTCTGCAGTGTCATACGTGTGCTGCCCAATTTTTCTAAAAAAAATTCTCAGCCGACTTTTTATCAAAAAAAAAACTTGCCGAAGGTTTTTGCCCTTATTAAATCCTTTGTGCTCCCTGGTGTCGACGAGAAAGAGAGAGATTCCATGGGCGGCTTTTCCTTCTTTGTTTGTCCGGGCGGCGATGAGGCCGAGATTCGCGAGTGTTCCGTTCGAAATGAAGGTTTTTGAACCGTTGAGAATCCAGTCGTTTCCGTCGCGGACAGCGTTTGTCTTCATTGCTGAGATCGAATAATTTGGTATAAAAAAAATTTTGGAAAATCACCTTGAAGATCAGAGCCTCCAGAAGGCTCCGTCATCCCGATGCAGGAAATGGTCTCGCCAGTAGTCATGCTTGGAATGTACTTGTGCTTTTGCTCCTCTGTCCCGAAACTGGTTATGTAAGGCGCCACGATTCCAGAGTGAAGTCCAAATCCTGGACCGTAAAATTTCGGCCCGGCGTAAGCCTGTTCCTCGCAAGCGACCATCGAGTACTCGAACTGCGCGCCGATTCCGCCGTACTCTGCTGGAGAGTCAATGCACAACAGACCGGCTGCTCCCGCTTCTTTCCAGATTTCCGCGTCCGGTTGGTGATCATTGTCCCATTTTTCGACGCGTTCTTGGGGAATCGAAGCCCAGAATTTTCGACACTGCTCCCGAAAAATATCCATGTCCGAATCATAATTCACTCCAGTGCCGATATCCGTCAGCTTATCCGATTGCCAGTTGTGGAGACGAGAGCTCAGCTGAGCGCTGGAAATAATAGCTAAGAATTTACTGAAAAAATAAACCTGGAATTGAGATAACGAGTGGATCTTGAAAGTTGTCGAAGCATCTCTGTATTTTTGCTTTTTCTCTTCGCTGCAATATTGACCCTTGCGATTTTATTTGTGTAATGAGAGGTGGGGCAAGGCAAACTTCGAGAATAGATTTAAACTGGCATAAATCATAAATTTTATTTTTTTAAGAAATTTTATTTCAAAAAATAGCCGCTTGTTTCGTGAGACAGACTTTTGTCCAAAACTTGAGTTTTTTCTTTTCTTTTCCAGTCACTTTAATTGTCTCCGATTTCCTCTTGAAAGCCTTCAAAACTTCCTCACACTCTTCCTTGCACGGCAACGCATCAAAATGGCCTCTTTTGATCGCGCGAACGCAGACTTGTCGCTTGATGGCGATGTTCATCAGTTCTTCGACTCGGGCTGGATTTGAAGTGCTAGGTTTGCCCATCACTTTCTCCTTCAGCTCTTTTTGGCATTTGTTCATGCCGATGAGAACTGCGTCTGTCTGATAATAAATAAGGTCAATTTTCATGAAGAATTTGCAAACCTCTTTTTCCCCGCCGACAAAAGTAGCTACTTCTGTCCAATTGATCAAGCCGGCTTCTGATCCTTCCGGAGCAGCGCAGTATCGCCGAGCTCTTACTTTTTCCCAGGGCTGGAGAGAAGGCTTGCTTGAGAGAGAAATCGGAGTCGGGGAAGATAAAAGGGTTGTTCTTGTAGTTGGCGGCTTTGGCGAGGTTTGTAGCGAAGCTTAAGGGTGTCAACATCGATTTTCGCATTTTTTCTGCAATAGTTATGGTACCTTCCGCTCATAAATAAGATCTGATTTTTCGCCCAGTTTTAGATTAAACCTTTTTATTTGGCATAAATTTGGCAGAATAGTAAATTTATAATCCGTTTATCCCCACCGCCGCTTCAAAGAACACTAAAAAGTCGAATTTCACCAATTTTCTTGCAAAAGCTACGGGAGAACTACAAATTCAAATTTCCTCATTTTTTGACAGAAGCAAGCCAGAACACTTTTATTTGGCATAAATTTAAAAAATTTTGAAATTTTATATTGCATGCATCTTTTTTCATGCATTATCTGATACCACGACTTTTACTAAGTTTGAGCGTTATTCTAGTGATGTTCCAAATATTGTATTCCTCTCTTTTTTTCAGAGATTATGGTTTGATCCTTTGACAATCTCCCGGGGTGCTCAGATCGCGCACTGATTAATCCGTTAATCCCCTTTTCCGGCGCTAAAGTGCAGGTGTATTCGACTTTTGGCGCGCTGTTTGAACATGCAAAATTTGCTTGATCCCAACGATATGGGTATCAATAGAAAGAGAATTTTTTAAGCTTTCAGAAAATATATAGTTTAAGATATTAAATCTAATTTTAAAAAATAGCAGTTCTAACAGTGCATTTCTACCGAGAACAAGTGCATTAGCGCGCTCATAGAATAACGTGTATCTCGTGATCTAGAATAGATATTTCGGATCTGAAAGAAGCTCTGGAATCAGCGTTAACAAGATAACTTGATATCAGTTGTTCGACTCATAAGAGATACCCTTACTCAATCGATGTTGACACCCTTAAAGATAAAGGAAAATTTTTTTTGTCATTTCTTACCGATTTCGGTTGAGATGTTTTCTCTTTTGTCGTCGTCGTCTTTGCAGTCGTTGTGGTCGTTGTGGTCGTTGTCTTTGTCGTTTCTGGCGGCGATGTTGGAGGCAGCGGCCCGATATTCTCATTGATCCAGTCGATGAAAGTGGAAACCTTGGCCCATTCTCCTGGATTTCCGGCGCGCGCACAGCCGATTCCCCAACTTGTCACTCCGGCCAAAACTGCGTTCCCGTTGATTTCGCACATTAAGGGTCCTCAATCAAACAAAAAGACAAAGAGGTAGAGGTCCCTTTTTTACCCAGTTTCTTACATTTTTCCAGACCTTGAGCCGCTTTAACCCGTTGCCGAGCGCTCCGCTAGATTGCCTTGCCGCTCGCGTAGCATCCGGAATGCTACGACTTTGAGCGCTATTTTCTTCCACTTCAACTTATTTTTCACGAATATTTTTTTCTTGAGGTTATTTATCGAAGCCTCATCTAATAAATTCATATTATTTCAGATAATTTAATTAAAGCTAGAAAGCCGAAAATAGGGAAAGAAAAAGGGTTTCTTCACCGGCGCCATTGTCCAAGTCTAGAGAAAAAGACAATGGCGCGGCGCAGAACAATAGAGAAGAAGCGCCGCGAGGGCTGAGTTCTTTTTTTCTTTCCTATTTTCTAGCGACAAATAAATAGTATTTTAAAATTTGAAAGCGGCGAACATATTCAAAAATGGCTAAAATTTCCAAAAATCAAAAAATTTTTTGGAATCGGCATATTTGATCTCGAGAAATTTGGCTTGAAAGGCGCTTGTAGCATCCTGAATGCTACGCGCTCGGCAACGGGTTAAAATCAACGAAGAAGGCGAGCCAGAGCGAATTTGCGGCGATGGATACGAATTAACAAAGGATGTATTTTTCTGCTTGGACGTCTGTGTCCTCAAGACGGGTGAGGTATGCTCAAAAGAGGTGGAAGCCGAGTAGATCTTTGCGGAAGAGATAGAGATGGGAACGAGATGGAATGTGCTGGAGACGACTTTCGACCAGACCCGTCATTAATTTGTCAACTTATGGTCTTATGACGGTAATTTTTTAAAAAAGATAAGGAAATAATATTTTACTTTCAGGTTCTTTCTTCGACTCTTCATTCTCATATAATTACTTTTCCTACTAAGAAGAGAGGGCAAAATGAAATATATTTGTCGAAAAACTCCGGAATTGTGCGATTGAAAATTTTTTCGGCTCGCCCCGAAATCTCCGGAATTGTGCGTTTTGACTGTAGTTATTTATGAATCTGCATTTTGCGTATCAAAAATGAGTGCTTAAAATTTGATTTGTTTTTGCAATCCTACTGTATTTTTTATATTGTGTGATTGAAATATATACAAATGGTTCTTTGCTGATTTTTTAAATATTCCTTTCATTTTTTTTTCTTTGCAAAAAAATGAAAACACAGCAAATTTATAATAAAAACTTCTATTATTTAGTCACTTTCAGCTGCAGTTGTTTCAGTAATGGGCTCTACACGAGCGTTATTGTTACATAGTTTCGCGAGATTGTCCCTATAAATATACATAATCCCAAGTATAAAGCTTAAGCCAATTCCAGTAGAAAGAGCAACTGTTAACCAGATATTTTCAAGACGCATAATGACAAAAATTCCGAATCCAAGGTGTTCCGCCAAGTGCACAGATAATAGAAAACTGTTGTTGGAATCACCGAAAATTGACAGAACGAGTGTCGCACAGGCAAACAAGGTCGCAGCAAGAAAATCTACGATTGAATCGTGATCATCCAAATACCAAATATATATGGTAGAAATTAACCAGTGAATTCCAAGCGGTCCAAAGAAAAGAAGAAACCCAATTGAATCATATTCTTCTCGTAATTTAAATAATGCAAGAACGAGAATCGTCATTCGTGTAAAATTTTGCACTAACAGCTATAAAAAATAATTATTCAAGAATCAAACTTTTTCGTTTTTTTTTAATTCAATAAGAAATTCACGGGAATATAAAAGAAAAATTCTTACAGTGAAAACCCATTTTAAGGCCGATTTTTGGATGACAGCAAATTTCAAAAGTGGCCTTAAAATGGACATTTTTCATGTTGAGCCGGATGACAATGATTTTTTTCCTTTTTCTTGCGCATAAAACAGGCATTTGCCGAAAATTGTGGTCTCTTGCGTGCTTATGTCGTGCAGAAATAGCTATTAGGAACTAAGAAAAACATATAAAGATTTTTCATCGGAAGATCAGCTTTGATCACTTTATCAAAAGTTTCAATTTAGTTTGAAACATTGGCTTTTGGTGTTCTGGAAAAAACACAAATTAAACTCTGATAAGTGAGAAACTCTTCGGTCAAAGACAAATCATTGACTATATTTTGCTCTCTCAAGTTGAGGAAGTTCCAACTGCCTCTCCACAGAAGAACAAAAATTTCAATTTAAGATTCTGTAAAGATCGGCTTCACTTAAAAGATTTTACAAGAACTTAAAGCGTACAGTTGTCTCGCTAGATTCTCGCATCAATCGAGGACCAAATATGGCTCAGATCATTCCGGACTCAATTTAATGCTGATGGCGGTTAAAAAACCCCTTCTTTGCGCTTAATTTCAGCGGCGTAAGTTCAGGGTTAGGGTAGGGTCGCTAAACTGTAACTTTCGAATTTAAAAAGATGATCAAAAGTGGCCTTATAATGGATTTTTCGAGGATGACAAATTTTGGGAGTTTTTCAAAAAAGTGGCCTTAAAATGGTGGGCCTTAAAATGGGTTATCACTGTATTTGTTTGTTGTTATCCAATCTTCATATGATATATAGATATAATTCATATTCGTAAGTAATTTCTTTCTCGAATAAAATAATAAAATATTATTCTGATATTAATAATATCATATTATCTTTTCTGAAATTACCATGATGAAGAAATAAACTCTCTGAAAAAGAACACTCCGAGAATAATTTCTTGACGATAAGACGATATATGAGAACATAATTGAAAGTATCGAAATCCAATCATAACCATATTCTTTGCAGTACAATTTCTCTTAAGTTTAACAATTGAGCATTTTAAACTAAAAAGAGAAAGTGGTCGATCATTTGGCTTGATAGCTTAGAATTTAAAAAGAAAAATAACCATTTTTTTCCTTTTGAGGAACGATCATAAAATAAACCTGAGTAATCAGTATCGTCAGATACAATTGTTATATTTCTTTCATCAGTCTTCAAGTCGTTTTCGACATCTCTGCATATTGTGATTATATAAAGTTGCATGAATAACTTCAATAAATTGATTATTTTTTGTAGGCTTAGTCGTGCATGTTTATTGCGAATTCAAAAAATAGTTACCTGCGGAGCTGCTTCAATTAAACTTTCAAACATAAATATAATTGATGAAGTTTCGGTGAAATCTTCCCCTTCATCAGAATTCTTTTCGTCAAAATAAACCAAAAAAAATATGACCGTAAACAAAGATGACATTCAAAATGGTACTGATTATGTCTTCAACTACTTGCATTATGGTTTGTTATCAAAAACGTTGATAAAATAATTAAGGCAAAGCTTGTTGTGGTTCATACATTTTGTTAATTTTTTTTCTGGACATATAACTTACTTTTCATCTATAAAAATCTTAAAACTTTAATTGTGAAATATGGGGTACCAGAGACAAGTGTCGGAAAAATGTCCGAAGAGGAATGTCTTTCAACTGTCTGTTTATTTATTTTCGGCTTTAAACTCGAGACATAGACAGTACCACCGAGCAGTATTATTATTGAAACTGAAATTGCTCCCCAACTTGTGTTTCCCGTCTAAAACATTGCTAGAAATAAATCTTGCGATCTTAGAAGTCTCGCGAAAATTGATTTTCTACCATCACCTGAAAGAATCGTGCAGCTTGAATTGAATCAGTCCTTAATTTCGTCTCATTTATCTTACGTTATATATTAGAATACTCACACAAAATCCGCAATAAAAAGAAGCCATGAGCCAAGTAAGAGAAGCCACCTTTGTTTCTTGAGAAAACCGCGAAATTTTTCGCATGATAAACAAGACAATTTCATCATTTTACATCTCTCAGATTTTTTGGAGTGAATTATCTGACTGATGCCGAGTTTTATAAAGATCGTTGTCGTTAAACTTTCCATATTTCCTTTTTATTATTAACATTCGCGATTTTTTTCTCAAACCATGGTAACCGAAATTTTCTTGTTCCTTATTTATAATGCCAAAATACATCTTTTCTTTCAAAAATATTTTTATAAAGTTCCCTTTTCGGAAACATGGAAATATGGCAGCTAGGATGAAGCATAATTTCTTCATTGATTTCAGCGATGAGTTTGATGTTGCTATAGTTTTCTGTTTTTCCGTCAATGAGTCGTTCGATAAGCCCATTCGAGCTCCATGAGCTAAAACACGAAAATAAAAAAATGTCAGAAAGCTGGGCGAGTTCTTTGGGAGAAGAAATCAACGAAATTAACGAAGAAATCAGGACAAAAGACTGTTTTCTTGAAAAATTATCGAGCGATGATGCTTTAACAAATTTACCGCCACGCAGACCAGCCGTTATCTTATTTATAAATGGCCAATCATTTCGCGGAGAAGCAAAATAAGGTTGGTGATCATTATCCCACTTTTCGACGCGATCTTTGGCAATCGAAGCCCAGAACTTTCGACACTGCTCCCGAAAAATATCCATGTCCGAATCATAGTTCACTCCAGTGCCGATATCCGTCAGCTTATCCGATTGCCAGTTGTGGAGACGAGAGCTCAGCTGAGCGCTGGAAATAATAGCTAAGAATTTACTGAAAAAATAAACCTGGCTTTGAGAGAACGAGTGGATCTTGAAAGTTGTCGAAGCATCTCTTTTTTTTTGATTTCTTTTCTTTGCGCTGCAACATTGACCCTTGCGATTTTATTTGTGTAATGAGAGGTGGGGCAAGGCAAACTTGGAGAAAAGATTTGAGCTGGCAAAGTTCATAAATTTTATTTTTTTTTAGAAAATTTCCTTTAAAATATAGCAGCTTGTTTGGTGAGACAGACTTTTGTCCAAAACTTGAGTTTCTTCTTTTCTTTTCCAGTCACTTTAATTATCTCGGATTTCCTCTTGAATGCCTTCAAAACTTCCTCACACTCTGCCTTGCAGGGGAGCGCGTCGAAGTGACCCCTTTTAATCGCGCGAACGCAGACTTGTCGCTTGATGGCGATGTTCATCAGTTCTTCGACTCGGGCTGGATTGGAGGTGCTCGGTTTGCCCATCACTTTCTCCTTCAGCTCTTTTTGGCATTTGTTCAAACCGATGAGAACTGCGTCCGTCTGATAATTAATAAGGTCAATTTTCATGAAGAATTTGCAAACCTCTTTGTCTCCGCCGACAAAAGAAGCAACTTGTGTCCAATTGATGAGCCCCGCTTCCGATCCTTCCGGAGCGGCGCAGTATCGTCGAGCTCTTACTTTTTCCCAGGGCTTGAGAGAAGGCTTGCTTGACAGAGAAATCGGCGTCGGGGAAGATAAAAGGGTTGTTCTGGTAGTTAGCGGCTTTGGCGAGGTTTGTAGCGACGCTTAAAGGTATAGGAAAATTTTTTTTTGTCATTTCTTACCGATTTCAGGTTGAGATGTATTCTCTTTTGTCGTAGTCGTCGTTGTAGTCGTTGTGGTCGTTGATGTTGTCGTTGTCTTTGTCGTTTCTGGCGGCGATGTTGGGGGCAGCGGCCCGATATTATCATTGATCCAGTCGATGAAATTGGAAACCTTGGCCCATTCTCCTGGATTTCCGGCGCGAGCACAACCGATTCCCCAACTTGTCACTCCGGCCAGAACAGCGTTTCCATTGATTTCGCAAATTAAGGGTCCTCCAGAATCACCTAAGATCCGATAATCACTTTTAACTCTGCACTGAAACTTACCTTGACAAGCGTCGCGACCTCCACCGATGGCCCCGGCGCAAATCATCGTTTCTGGATGATGATCTTAAAGAGAGATCTTAATGATTAGAAATTTGAACTGATCTTACCCTGTTCCTTGACGCAGTAGTTGTCGTCGAAGATCTCGACATTGACCGAGTTCAAAATGTCGACTTGTTTTCCGAAGGATTCGTGATCCATTCCCCAGCCAGCAGTGTAGCACTTGGACATGACAGGCCACTCCCAATCAACTGGCGGCAAGCACGCGTACTTGTGCTCGATGATTTCCGCCACGTCTTCTTCCAGAGTCAGGAGGCAAACGTCGTTTTGGAAATGGCGGAAAGAGAAACCCAGATGCTCAACAATTTTTGTCACTTTCAGGATTTTCTCGCCCTCGTCAACTACTTTCCGACTTTTAATTGTTCATTTTCTCTGTTGTCATCCACAGTCAGTAAGAAATAACCATGTTTTGGAATCGATCATCAAGTCAATAAAAAATTGAAAAAAAAAGAACATTTCCTATAATCGTTGACATGAGCGATTATATCCTTGGGAGCAGCGCCGTGGCAGCAGTGCGCGGCAGTCAAAACATGTTTCCCGTCAAGAAGAGATCCTCCGCAGGTTGCTCCGCTTCTTCCGATGCGAAGTCGCACGATGAATGGCCAAGCGTCTCTTTTGACATCTCCTCCACCGACGATTCTCGCCGAGCTCAGCCACCTTCAAAAATCAACGAGTCTGAATCGAGTAATTTTCTACCTCGAAAAAGGGTTCACTTGTTCTCTTGCCTCGCAATAAGTCCACGTCTCTGGAATTTCCCATTTTCCAGCCGCAACAACGCTCAAAAATGCCCCGAAAAGCTTCATCATTGAATTTCAAGTAGCGCTTTTTTGACGCTCCTGCTTTGATCATTTGAATTTGACATTTTGAATTGAATTTACTGATTATCTTCGGAACGCTTCGGAAAATATTGATTAATTTTTGAAGTAATTTTTTATTTTGCAACGAACTCAATTTCAGCAAAATAGATTCCAGTGCCGAGCGGCGAGACCTGTCCTTCAAACCACGACCAATCTTGGGATTAATAAGTTTAAAAATTACACCCTTAAAATTGAACCTTCACAGCGTCTTAACGGACTGGTATAATTAGCCACCAAATATCTCTTCCCTGAAATCCTGACTATCGACGGAAAAGCAGTGTCCCCGCATCCCGGAAGGTCCAGAAGTTTCTCAAATGAGCCCTCCGTTTTGTCCATTTTCCAAAGTGCGGTTCCGTGCGGTCGAGTTGAATACGCCCCGAGATCGATCAAATGGTGGAGGTTCTCGGGAAGGGAGGAATTGCGCTCGTTGAAGAATGTTCCCGTTGGATCTGTTCGCGCGATGAGAAACAGCTCTAGAATCAGTTTAATTTTCAAGATTCCTCAAAAATGGACCGTTTGCGTGGCGAAACATTCTGACTGACTCGTAAATGTACGGGTCGGAGCGTTCCTTCAAGGAACTTCCTTGAACCAGTTCCATTTGCCAAGCGAGTTTTTCTCCGCCCAGAATGTTCTACTCCCCCAGCCTGTACTATCTCCGTCTTCATTTCTACCAACGCCGAAGAGATTTCCTTCTTTTTCTGGGTATTCGATTTTTGAAAGAGTAAAATTCAAGTTTTTATAACCAAATGCCCAGATCAAAAGCAAAGCCGACCTCAGAAATGCCCCCAGAGTACGAAATAATATTCTGTTCATCTGCAGGCTCCCAACTAATTCCGTCAGCTGATTTGTTGAAATGAAGAACAATGCTTCCCAGATTAGCCGTGTAGTGCTCGCCGAAATAGCTCGAAACAAAGTGCGTCCCGTTTTCTTCTGAAAATTGCCACATCACTTCTCCGGGCTCGACGATCGCTTCCGGCTCGCTCCAGCTGTTTCCTTCTCTTTGCATTCGGTAGACATTGTCTGGCGAAAACTCGATCGGATTCGTCCCCGCTTTGAAAAAGAAAAAGAAGAGAACTTCCTCTGCAACGATGAAATAAGGCTCTCGCATGTCGAAGCCGATTTGCAGAACGGTTTCTATCTCCCAGGCAAAAGTCAAACCGTTCCCCGGATAAGGAGCAGAGGCTTACTCAAATGCTTTTAAACCAAAAGAAATCTATCCAAACCTATGATCATTTCTGTTTCATTCGACGCAAAATGGCTCTTCGAAGACCTTGAATTTTTTCGACATTTTGCAGAAAAAATAATTGAAAATGAAACGCGGCGAAAATTTTCCTGAATCCAATAAAAATTCGATCATCGTGGATGATAATTCCGACATTGTTGTTTGCTTGCTGCGATCAGTTAGACAGTTTCTAACATCGAATATTTTTTAATTGTCTGAACCGTGGCTGGACAGGATAAGGAAACTCTGCGCCAAAACTGACTTGGAACTGATACTGATTCAAAACTGGGCCAAATTCTTCTCCTGATTGCGTCAGATCATGGTCTTTCAAGAATTGTTTATTTTGAACAAGCTCAATTTTCTTATTAAATTCAGAAATAACATTTATAATTCAACCCTTGTCAATGTCCCACCAGCTGGCCGAAAAGCAAAAATGAATAAATAACAGTAAAAACCGCATTTCTCTTGACCTCAATTTTATCACATTTTAATAACATGCATCTCAGAGGCCGCATCTGGAAATTTTCTCTTGAAAAATGCAAATAAAGAAATTATCATTTTCGAACAATTTTTTTTTTATTAAAAATAATATATGAGTTCTTCGAGTCTCCTGGTTTGTTTTTTTTTCATATTCTGAAGCAAAAACAAAGTGCTGATGCAATTAAAACAAGCCCCTTAGCTACTGTAGCAGCTCTTTTGTTTGTCAGTCGGAAGCTGCCCGTTTGAAAATTTCTTGTTTAATCAAAATGCGATAACGCGTTATGTCTTTGACGTTTCGCTCAGAAGCATTGTCGAAAATTGTTTGTAGAGAATTAACTTTCCAGCTGCGGTATTTGGACATGCGAGTGAACCAAAGACACACAGAAGGAAGCAGAAAAACTGGGGCAATTCAAATTTAAGCACCAAAGAGACCAAAGAGTCGCCATTCCTCATTTCAAAATTCTGAATTTGGTTTTTCTTTGTTTTGCAGAACCAAAAGTCGGAATAATTCAGATTAGAGTTCCTTTTATTGTTCTTCTGTTTGAACGCGCAGAGAAAAAGAAGAGAGAGTCGACCCAAGCAGTCTACAAGTGATAAAAGTACAGAGCCATCAAGCCCAAAACAGCGGAAGAGAATGAAAGAGTGCGTGCCCACAACAAGCGCCAATTCAATGGCCGGGAAGCTGAGCAAAAGGTAGACCTTCCGTGAAAACGAGAAGAATTATCATGTCAGAGCAGAAGGAGAGATCAGTTCACTCGGAGCTCCGCAAATTCTCGAATTTTAGAAAATAATTTGGATTTCAAAAATACGATTTAGTTCTTAGTGTTTAGACTAAACAGTTAAGTGTTTCTAGCTGTCTGACTAATTTACTCAGACATTGACTGAAACGGAAATGCATTGAGATGAGTTTGTGTAGCTCCTGAGTTATTTTGTTGTTAGGAGGGAAACTGCGCCGATAATCTCCTACTCGAACCCGCAAAGATCCAGTTCCAGGGTCAAACGTGAGAGCTCGTACAACAGGCGACTCACAATCGCCGAAAACTCAGGTTAGTTTTGATCTTCAACGCTGATGGTATCAATTCTTTTATTTTTGATCGTTTTTTTTTTGTTTATCATCGAAGTCTATCTTTACCGAAAACCCGAAATTCATAAGTCTTCAGCTTTTTATTTTCTATAAGCCTTATAGTATAAGGTCTTTTTGTAAAAAATAGTTTGGAATTTTTATCTTAATTTCCGAAAAATCAATTTTCAATTGTTGACAAGTAGATTATTGACTGTTGACATTGATAGCGATAGAAATATTTATCGTCTGCGCTCGGGACGGATGCTTCTCCGGAAAGAACAATTCGTTCTTAAATTTGGAGAGATGGATTCGGAGAGTGTCTCGAGCACAAAATCAACTTCGTTTTCAGGAAGATCTCTGCTTTCGAGAAGGACGATGTCCTCCGCCGCGAGTTCTGCTGATCCGAGGTTGAGAAAGACGCCAATTGCTCCGCAGGTACAGAACTTTTCGCTTCTTTGCTTATTTTTTATTGCTGTTTCTTGACAGATATCTAAAATATTAACTTATTTTTATATAAGTTATTATTTTAATTTACTTTTATCAATTATTAATAATAATTAAATAATTAAGGACTCCCCCATCAACCCATTTCCTCAAAAAGTCTAAAATTCAAATACAGCCATATTTTGGCGAAATATGGACTTTTTTGTCAATTTTCGTCGAAAAGGCCAATTTTCAAACGCGATTTTAAGGGTGAAGGAGTCGAGATAGCCCCGAAAAAATGAGGCCTCAAAATCGATTTTTGACCTCTAGAATCCATTTCCGGGGTCAAAATTATGAAGGGCCCACTTTTAATTTTTCGAAAATTGATGACGGGGGGGGGGTCCTTAAATACTATATAAAGATAATTTATTATAAATAAATAAATAGTTATTTGATTTGTAATTAGACATATAAATTATAAAAAAGAAGAAAAAATAATTGTGGAATCTTTCTCATAAAGCCTCATCTTTTTATCATCTTTCTAATTAAGCCAATTGCGGAATTTGTCACGATTCATTTCGGAACAAAATCGGTTCTCGTAAATGCGAATTGCACGATTTTCTACGTTTTCCGCTATATTCTTCATCTTTACGAAGGTAATTAACCTATCGCGCTGAATAGAATCACCGAAGCCATTGTAGGTCAAGACAAGGAAAAGTTGGAGAATATTCCTGAATCGCTGGTTGCCCAGAAACGGCTAGCGCAGTGCACGAGTTCGTATGATCTCACTGACAAGAACGGAAATTGTCTCGACATCGCGGAGAAGCCAAACACAGCCAGGGCCAAAGACTTTCTCAAAGGAAGACAGTGAGTCATTCAAACTTTTCTCCAAGGGAAAATGTTGTTCAGGGATTACAACTTGTCGAAAATATTCCGAAACGGGAAAAAGAAGATTTTGTACAGTCACATTTTGGTCCCCGAATCACTCAATGCGGCGAGGTCGGGCAGCGTTTTGAACAGAAGACCGAAATCTAAAGATGTGCGGAGTAATTCGAGAAGATCGATGCATTCTTTGAACTCGAAAGGCGAATAAAATCAAATTTTACGTGTTTTTCAGACAAAGCCCCTTCACAGTTTCACGATCGTGGATTTTTGATAACAATCAATTTTATTGCTCTTTTTCGAATAAGAAATATTGATGAGGATTACTCTTCTGAGTAGAGCGGGAAGCTTCGCTGGTAAAACTTGTTCATCATTGACCGCTGAAAATATTTATCAATGATTATTTTTTCAACAAAACAAACCTTGAAGAGCTCTTGTTGGTCGTTATTTTTGTAAAACTTGCTCATCATGTTACGCTTCTCGCGCAAGTTCTCAAAATTCTAAATGAAATAAGCTCTGATAAGAGTTTCGCGTCCTGAGAAGAAAAGCTGAGTCAGGGTCCTGAGTCAGGCGGAGCAAGCATTCTGCCTCTTACCTCGAAAGCTGACGCTGCTCCAATGATCAAACAAATGAAATTCATTTTTTTGACTCGAAAAGTGATTTTTTTCTCGACTCGATAATGTGATTAAAAACAGGGGCTATTTAAACGCGGATTTTGTGAATTATTGATAGCGCAAAGGTCGGCGATGCTGGCGAATTTGCGGTCTCTTGATGCTGCATTATCGCGTCTATGAAAATGCGCGAGGTTTTGGATTGGCATTATTCAGATGACTGCAGTCCAGTCACGGGACTTCTGTGCTTCGGAATGGACCATCAAACACTTAAAATTGAGGGCGAAAAGTAATGATTAATAAATGCTAAGGAGGAAGAGGCTCACTTCGAAGAACATTCCTTTCTTCATTTTTATTGAATGAATTCTTGAAATTTCGTAGATCGACAAAATTTTCTTCATCATCGAGAATTTTATTTCTCAATTTTCTCCACGTCGGCCCCTCAATTCAACCCTTTTCTATCAGAAAATAGTCAAATCAAAATTTTTCGCAATGAATTCAGTTACTGCTTGTTAAAAGAAGTCTAAAAATCGACCATCTCCCCCTTACAAGAAAAAGCGAAGACTGCCATGACTTCTATCGATTCATGTCAGAAATGCCATTTTCGATGAAATATGTTGATGGTTATTGAAGATGACACTTAATATGGACATATTAGGTCTGTTAATATTTAAAATCGCTAACGAAAGATGTTAAAAATTTTAACTTTAAATAAATAAAGGAAAAAATATTTGTTTTAATGGTCAACTAACGAAGAATAAGCAAATGCAAGGTTTTTTGTAGACAGATGACTCTTTTTTGGCATGGATTGATTCGGGTGTTTGTGCATACTGTATACTGTATACAGTCTACATCAGCATACAGCATATCAGTGAAAAATTAGCTGATTATTTTTTGAAAAACAAAAGAGTAAAGAAAACTTATTTAACTTTTTATACAATGAGGATGATCTTAAGCTCAGCAATTTTGAGGAGAGGGTCAGCAGCTGACCGTCAGCTTAGCCCGAAATTTTTTTGAAGTGAGCCAGCTCAGCTCACTGACGTAAACTTTTAGACGCGCTTTTTTGTCAAAGATCCGAGATCGACGAGAATCAGAATTTTTAAAACAAAGTTCCCGAAAAACCCGATTCCCTAAGTATGTTTTAACTTATCAGGTGAGAATAGAAGGGTATTAAGAAGATATCCCTGTGTCACACCCTCTGTCTCATTTCAGTAAAAAAGATGAATATGTGTTTATTTCCGAAAATAATCTTTTTCAAAGTAATTTCTTCAGTTTCTATGCGAGCTTCAAAATTGCGGGCAGCTCCATGCACTGCTCAGTTATGAACTCATATTCTTCCGGCGTTGGTTCTCTGTTCATCTTGCTCAGCGCCACTGAAAATTTTAAATAAGAAAATGATGAGTCTTCCTTGTTTTAAAGGCATTTATTCCTGTCGTCAGGATAAAATTAGGATCATATGGTCTGGGCTCTTTTTTATTAGCTTGGAGAAACCATACTCGCTTCTGATTGGTTGAATAGACAACCCATACTCCTACCCTGCCAAACCTTTATGATAAAGGCCATATCTGGGCTGATCTAAGCTTGGCGAACGAATCTATGTCCAAATCCTGAGCCAGGCCTAGAAAGAGCTCGAACGATGATCTGCGTCGCGTCTTATATTCAAACAAAGCGGCTTTGCCAAGAAAGAAAAAAAATACGATGGATATTTTACAATGCAACTTTGCGACTTTCTTTTCGAAAAAGCGTCCTTGGAAATTATGGACTTACTCTGCTCGCATCTGTAGTAATACTTGTTGGCCAGCTCTACTTTCGACCCGAAATCCAATTTGCTCCATCGCCGAAGAGAATGGTCTGTTATCAAAGCACTTTTCGAAAATGAAAAAAGAGTGAAAAATAAAGCGACGACTTTCATACTCTTCGCTTTGAATTGATACTTGAGAAATAAAAAAGAAGCGACTTTTATTGCAAATTCTTCGTTGAATTATGAATTTGAGGTAAAGAGCCGATGGAAATGGAAGAAAAACAAATTTGTTGTAGCGATATTCATTTTTGATGAAAATTTGTTTTCCAGGATGTTTCTTTTCGACCTTGAACAAGAAACAGCGATAAAAGTTCAGTTTAGTGCAGAAACTTAAGGAGGGGGTCGACGAGAATCGGGATTTCCGTGACCAAAAATGCGGGAAAACCTGATCAGATAGACAAAATCTGAATTTCCTGGCAAATAAAAAGGGTTGAAAAATTACCCGGCGAGAAGTAGAAAAAATTTTGGCCAAAAAAATTGGTCAAAAATCCAGTGAAAGTAGGACCATTTTCGCGAAAATGCACCAAAAATAATCATTTTCTACATTGATTTTAGGCTCAACAGATTCGTGAGGATCTGAAGACTCCAAAAATATAAGATTCATGCACAGACCATGTGTATACGGGAAATTACGATCACCCCTGAAAAAATTTTTCAGAGGTCATTGAACTGACCTTTTTAAGGTAGTTGAGCTGAGCGGACCCAAATAAGAGCTTACCTGAGCTGGTTGAGCTGAGCTGAGTCGAGATATTAGGCAGAACAGATCATGTTCGAAAATAATTGACCTGAGCTGAGTGAAAATGGTTTAAGCAAATTTAAGAAAATAAGATCATTTTCAAAAATCACTGAGCAGCTGCTCAGCTCAGCAAATTTGTAACTTTGCTTCAAATATCTAAAAATACTGATCATCTTTTGTCTTGTTTTGTTATCAAACCCCATTATGAATAGCCCATTAATGATTCTCTTGTTGCCGAGAGAAAGTGAAAAAGCGCCGTTTTGGATCGTAAAAATAAACCATAAATGCGTCATCCCGTCCAGCTCCACTCCTGCCCGACTCTTGAAAAGAGAAAGAACCTTCCCCGCGGGCGTGCTGCATCAATTCAGACCGCTCTGGCTGAGAAAATTTCGAATTGATAAAAAAGACTGTGCACTGTTTCTTTCCTGTTCCCGTCAATGATTTAGAAGTTTGGTTTTTTTTTGAAGAAGAGAAATTGCGAAATGAAGCTTGGTTGGTTTCTGTTGGCTTCTTTTTTGCCGGAAAATAATGGACAAGAAGCGGCGCCAGATTTAGCCAAATTGGCGGCGAGTTTTTCGCCGGAACAGTTGGCAGCTCTTCAAAGGAAACGGGTTGAAGGAATTTTTTCTGAGTTTTTTTTATTTATTTATGAATTATTTTTTTATTACAGTGAAAACCCAAAAAAAGGCCGGATTTCGGATTTTAATTCCCGAAAAAAGCGGCCAAATTTTGGTTTTTTTGTCGGATAGCCAAGTTTCCCCTTCAAAAAGCAAAGTTTCAAAATTTTCGAAAATCGTAATGATTTTCACATTTTTGATGAATTTCATTCAAATTTTTGCTTGTTTGAAGACATTTTTATTTAAATTTAATCATTTTAAATGATTTAAACACTTTAAAAAAGCTAAAAATGATCAGAAATTGCATCATTTGGGCCCCATTCTGATGAAAAATTTTATATTTCTGAAAAAGCGGCCAAATTTTGGGTTGATATCAGGTTCCCAAAAAGGCGGATTAAGAAAAAAAGCGGCCAAATTCCGGGTGGGCAAATTTTGGGTTTTCACTGTTTAAAATTTATAAGCTGTAAGGAAATTTCACAATAAAGTGTTGATAAGATTAAAAAAATATAATCGGTCTGATTACCAGACTCTGGTTCGGAAACCTCTGTAGAAACCTGAGTCAAAGTCCTGAGAAAGCTCTTCTTTGATTGAAATTTTCAGAATTCTCACTCAGGTTCTTACTGAGAAAATGAATAACGGATCTTGATTTTATTTTAATTTTGCCTTGAATATTCAAAATTTCTTTTAACCCCGAAAAGTGTCCTTGGCGCAAACAAAATAGCCTCTCCAACTGGTCTTGAAAACCCGGTTGCTCCAGCTGCCACCTCCTCGGTCGCCCAGCCCGCTGCCCCAGCAGTTCCGGCAATTCCGACTCAGCAGCCAACGACAAAACCGACAAATGCCACGACTCTCGCTACTGAAGCCCCCGCTGCTCCTGCTCGGGGCTCGGCAACCTGTGTAAAAAACCTGAGTCAGGGTCTTAAGGAGGTGTGGGGCAAATTTCGGCAAATTGACCATTTTCAAACAGCCCTCAGGCTCAGATGGGTAATAAAATTTTTAAAAACTCTTCTTCTATTTATAGATTGGACCCTAAACTAGAGTTGAAATTTTTTTCAGAAAAAATGATTAAGGGATTCTGGCCATAATGACCTCGACTCCATGTCATGTCCGTGAAAATCGTCATTTTGCGTCATTTTCGAACGCGATTTTTTTAATGAAAATATTTTAATTTTTTAAAACTTAGATGCTGAAAAGGAAGTTCAAACGCTGTTCTCGGGTTGAATTGAAGGAATTTAATTTTTCGCAAAAATTGCTTATTTAAAAACTTCAATCGAAAATTGGGTTTCAAATTGTCAAAAAAATGAAATTTAAAATTGCACTAACTCGTAATACAGTTAGATAAGTGAGTCACTGCAACGAATAAAAATACTCAGCGACTCGTAAGCTTTCTAAAAATATTAAAATAATTGCATTTAAAAGACTTTAAAAAATCTAATTTCACGAATTTTCATAGAAATGCCAATTTTCAATCCCGTTTTTCACCAACTTTTGTTGACATTGAGAAAAAAAGCTAGAGACCTTTTTTGATGCTCTTGATGTGGGCTTTCTAAAAATGGAAAGAAAATTTTAAAATTCGAATTTTCGCGAAGTCGCCCCACACCTCCTTAAAGAGCTGTGTCGCCAAAACAACTTATTCATTCATTTATTCTAAAGTTTTTTTCTCAGAAACCTGACTGAGGTTTCTACTCAGGCTCAGAATTTAAAAAAATGAATCGGTAGTTCATGCGGAGCCGTTTTTTCAGACCCTGTCTCAGGTTTTCTTCACAGGTTGCCGAGCTCAGCTCTAGCTGTTGAGACAAGATTGGAAGGAGCTTCGGTCGATCTTGAGCAAGAAACGGGAAGAATCGAGGATAGCCCAGAAGAACTTATTCGTAAGAAAATTTTTGATTACAAGATTTATGAAAATACTTTCAAGCCGACGGACCAAGTGAAGATGTTAACCCCGCCGAAGATCAGCCGCTCTCGAATTTCGATCCTCTAGCCCCAATTTCTGCTGAGAATCCCGCTCCACAAACGGCTCTCCCTCCTCAAGACTCGCCCCTTCCTGCTGAAACTCCAGTAGAATTACCTGCAGAAGAATCAGTTGCGGAAGAAACGGTTTCAACTGACTCAACCCCAGCGCCGCTGACTAAAGAAAACACGGATCTTCTCTCACTTCTTCAAGGAAAATCGCCAGAACAAATCGCCCAGCTTTTAGCTTTGGCTCAGGGACCGGGCTCAACAACTCGTGTAGAAGACCTGAGTCAGGGTCCAAAAGATCTTAAAATTAAATTCAATATCATTGAGACCCTGACTCAGGGTTTCTGCACAAGTCGCCGAGCCCTGCTCAGGGAAACGCTCCTGCTGAGGATCCTCAACCAGAAGAAACTGTGGTGGAAGAACCGATTGCTACTGAAACTATGGAAGCAACTGAAGAAGAGAAAACTCCTGCTCCTGTTGCTCTTCCAGAAGAAGAGCCAATCGAAGCAGAAGTAGAAAACACTGCAGCGGAAAATCAATCGACTGGTTTTGGAATTCAAATAGCTCAGCCGGATGAAGCGACTTTGGATAACGAAGAAACAGAAGCACTTGAAGAAGAAAAAGAAGCACAAGGTGAAGAAAGAGAAGAGCCTGTTCCAGAGGTTACTCCTGATTTGTTTCCAGAAGGAGAGGCGGGTGAAGATAATGGGGAAGAAGTTTTGAATTTTGAAGGTAAGGAGAAAAGATTGTTATCTATTACGACTTTTATTGCTCGTTCAGGCGATACACCAATAGAAACTGAAGAACTCGGAGAAAACCCCCGCATTCAACTCCCTGCCGAATCTCAAAATGATAAAGCTGAAGAAGAAGAACCGCAAATAACCGAACCAGAGCTTGAAATCCCCGCAGAGACCACTCAAGGTACTCTCTGCTCCCCTGAGCTCAGCAACCCCATTTCTAGATCTCGAAGACGAAGAAGACGTCCTAGACAACGAGTACGAAGAAGAAGCCGGAGAGGAAAATGACGCAGATGCTTACGATGAATACGAAGAATACGACAAATACGGCGAAAGCTACGATGAAGAATACGACGGAGAGTACGACGAAAGCGAGTATGACGAAAGTGAAAGGTAAAAAAAAATATTCGATTTGGAAAATGTTAAATTTAAGCAGCGATTTCTGGAAATTCAACGACAACGACAACGACGACTTGAGCGACAATTTGATCCAAGAAGAAGCCCGAAACGGCGATCTCTTCTCCGATCACGACGAAGAAATGGCGGAAGACAAGGCGAAATACAATTTTGCGTTTTTCATGATTTTGTTCGTCTTCGGCACGACAGGGGCCTATTACGTGTTCACCACTGCGAAGAACAAGTTCTTTCCGCAGAGCAACGTAAGTCAATACCTCAAAAGCAAGAGATGGCGATATTGGGACAGAAGTCAGGTCCGTTTCCGTCTCGCAAGGGTGCAATTATTATTATTGGTGTTTTTCAAAAATTATATTTCTTATTTTTCTTTTTAGAAACTATTCAAAAGGGTAAGAAAAAATGGCACAATCACTAGAATCATTTCTGTCAGAGTCCCTTCTAGATGAATTAGATTCACTCATACCTTTACAGTCGTTACGCACAATTCCGTAACGCACAAACCGGAAAATGTATTCGTTAACCTGTGTAAAAAAACTGTGTAGAGAGAGCTTTTTGTAGCACGGCTTTGCAAAGATTCGACAATTTCTAAAAATAAAAATTCTTGCTTGGCGGCTTTGATATTCTAAATCCACTACGCGGCTCTTTCGAAACCTGAGTCAGGTTTTCTACGCAGCTTTCATTAGTTAGTTTAGAGCAAGAATCAACTTTGAAATCGCTTAGTTTTAACCTCAACCATTTTCAATAAAACCCTCATCAATTTTGTTTCTAGCACGAGCAATCCTACAAGCTCCTCCCGAAAACCGACACGGACGTGAAACAATCGGCGTCTTCTGAAGACAAAGACGAGTGGAACAACGACGACTGGTAAAATGAATCCCCAGTTTAATTAAAATAAAAGCTATTTCGCCGATTTTCTGTCCTAAAATTATTTTTTCTGCAAAACGAACTCAACAGCAAAAAAGTAGAAATTTCATTTTCCCGGCCACGCTGCAATTATTTCTGTATAATCTTCTTTTCGATTTATTAATAAAATATTTATACATATCGAATTTCGCGAAATTGCCACTTTTATTATTTTTTTCGTTAAGGATCATTCAGACCCTCACATGGGTTTTAAAGATAAAAACCGCAAATTAATGAAAAGACCATTTGTTTTATTTTGATCAATTAAAACAAACGATCAAAAGATTCTTTATTTGGAAAAACGATCTTCCAACTAATTGGCGCACTAATTGAACTGCGTCGACATTGTATCTTTATTTCTTCGCTTTCTAACATTCCCATTGAAAGGTGAGCAGCAAGACGATGAACATGTAAGTCTTCACGTTAAGCTTGTCCAGTGGCTTCATAGATCGCGAACTAAAAACCGAAAAATTGTCCTTCCCTCAGAACTTAAATTGGATGAAAATAGATGTATCGGGCTTGAAAATCTCAGTTTGTTTTTCCCCAAAATAAAAATACTTCCGCTCCTGCAAATTGTTAAGAACCCCCCCCCCCCCACCGTTATCAATTTTCCTTAAAAAATCAAAAATTTCAAAAACGCCATATTTTGGCTTTTTAGAGTGCCTGGAAGCTCCATTCACCATAAAAAATTGCTCGGGCACTTTTTGACCACTAAAAATCTGAAATTTTAGCAAAATTGGGACTTTTTCGTTATTTTTCGTCAAAAAGTCCAATTTTTAAACCCGATTTTGAGGGTTTAGAGTCGAGATAGACCCCCGAAAATGAGGCCTCAAAATCGTTTTTTGACCTGAAGAATCCATTTCCGGGATCAAAATTTTTAAATTCAGAAAATCGATTTGTTGACGGGGGGGGGGGTCCTTAAAAAATTTTACTTTAAATTTAAAAATTTTTCAAGGACACAGACTTTGGAGCCTAACTCAGGCTTGCTCAGGTTGCTCAAATTGCTATTTTAATCTTTTTTTTTTTAATTTTTGCGAACTCGCGGCTTTGCTTTTGAGAAATCCGCTCCAGGGCTTTTTCTTCAAGCTCTTAAGAAAACCTGACTCAGGTTTTAAGACAGGTTCCCATGCCGAAATCCATGTTTTTTTCGGGTTGACCACGTTTAATTCTTCATTCACCCTTTTTTAACCAAGTTTCTCTAGGACATCTCGTTTATTTGTCAAAAAACATAGGCCCTTAACAAGGACAATCAAGAAGATCTCCGAAAGAAACGTGATAAGAAAGGGCTAATAATTCAAAAGTAAAAAGATCTCACCAAAACGTGGCTCTTTGTTTGATTAATTGATAAACTCGTATTTGGGGCCATCTATAAATTCATTTTTCCCCACCTTTGCGAATTAAATAGACTCCAGAGTTAACAAAAACAAATTCAATTAGCGCCTCTCCAACGTGTCGTTTTAACAAGAATTAATTTTCGCTAAAAGATGGGTCAGTTTGTAAAAATATCGCAAAACGGCGGTTTTAGATCCCCCGTCAAAATTGAATGATTTTTGGGTGGCGGGCGACCAGGTTCACAATCGATTGGTTCACAATTTTGTGAAAAAATTTGGGTCAAAAAATTGGCTCAAATTGAATGAAGGCGCGGTTGCAGAGAAAGCTTATAACGTCAAAAATGAAATTTTCTATGAAATCAGGCGCGGAGCGCATATAGACCCCTGATTTCGTACTTTTAAAAATTTTGTGAGCCGGGTTCACACAAATTGTGAACCGGATTCACAATTGTGAACCTGGGCGCCATACACCCTGATTTTTTAAAATATTAATTTAACCCTAGCCGGTCGAGGTACTCCAAATATGGAGCAGGTTTTTACTCATTTCCAAGTACCTCACAATATTCTACGTATAATTTCTAAGAAACTCATTCTGGAGCGATTTTTTCTATTGCATCTTGATAGGCAGGGTTTAATTTATTTCCCCAAGACCAAGTAATTTAACCTTTATCATTTGTATAGTCCTATTTGCAGGTAAATCTCTGGCGCCAAATATGGAGTATCTTGACCGGTACCCGAGAAAAATCATTTTTGGCGGGCTAGGGTTAAGAAAAAAGTATTTCTCAAGATTAACTAAGAAATGATTTCAAGGGTTCGAAAATGCAATTGAAGTGCTTCTTCGCTTGAATTCTGAATTTATAACATCTGCGCTGAGGAATCGAGAGCTTATGTTATCTTCAGGGGTTTTGAGAAAATTGGAGATGTTAACATAATTTTGGGACCTCAAAAACTCTTTCGCCGCTACTTTTGGATTACAAGGATCTCGCCTGTTTAGTTCCCTCAAGACGAAGAAAAGTTTTTGTCTTTTTCCCTTGAGATCTTTTTTCAGAAGTTTTCTGCATAAAGTGTGAATAACAGCCGCCCTCCAAAATCTCGAGAAAAAATATTTCTCCCAATTATTTTTTGTCTTAAAAAAACTCTTGGCCGTCTATTTTGCATAATAAAAAGGTCAGAAAAACGTGAATCCTTCGTAAAAATTAACACCATTCATAAACAAAAAATAATCATCCGCGGCGCTGCTTCTCTAGACCCCGATTAAAATCTAATTGACGAGAGATCTGATTTGATTGAGCGCGTTTTGGGAGATTCCAATTTGAAACACTTTATCGCTTTTTTCGTAACTGATTATCAAGCATTTCAATTTCAAAAAAAAAAAAGAAAAATATTTTTGGAAATTTGAATTCAAAGTCAGGATTTGTAAATTGAGATTAGTTCAATCAAAATTCGATCTCTTCAAGAGTTGCTCTAGAAAACCAGCAGATCATCAAAAGTAGCGCTAATCAAATCGATTGACACTTGTCAACCATGTGCCAGAGTACTAAGTCTAGGCTTATCAATAGACATGTAAATCTAAAATTCAATTTGTCGAAAAATTATCATTATTATAAAAAGCATCTTTCAAGCGAGGATTTTTCGAAATAAGTAATTATGAAAAGCGAAGGTTAATAAGAATTGATAAAAGAGTTTTTTCTGATCAAAATTCTTTAGAAAAAGACTCAGATTTTCTACAGAAGTTGCCGAAACCAAATCGAACTTATGGAACCCGCACGTGAGAAGACAAACTAGATATTTATAACTAAAGAAACGGAGTCGAATGTTACCTTGACCACGAGACATCAAATAATTCCAACTCGATTTTAAACAAGAAAAAGTCAAAATGGCATATTTATGGGTGTCAACAACGATTCTGGCCATATTTGTAACAATAGCTTAAGTGACTTCACTATTCATTTTTGAATTTTTTCTTTACTCATATCTAAGATTGAACCCTTTTCTACAAAGTAAATTTGAGGGATTTTCGAAAACAGTATTGAATGCATCTTTTTTCATGCATTGTTATGTGTAACAATTTTTTCAAAGTTTGAACTCAATTTAAGTATTGTTCCTGTGCATCGATTTGTTTCTTTTTAGTAGTAAAATAGTTTGATCCTATGACAATATCCAGGAGGGCTAAGATCAGAAAATATATCGATTGCTATATAGAATGTAAATTTTAAAAATAGCATTCATCACAGTGCATTTCTAGAACATCAATGCATTAGCACGCCCATAGAATCGATCATATGATATGACTCATATCTCGAGAACTAGATGAGATATTGAAGATCTGAAAAAAGCTTTGGAATCAGCGTCTAATATGCAACAAATAAAGGTTCGGTCAGCCAATCAGACATGACTTGAACTGGTCGTTGTTCACACCCTTAATGATAAAAACAAATTTAATAAAGAATATTTTCCTTTTGTTCTGAGCAAGGCAACCTGTGTAGAAAAATTGAAGAAAATTTTACTTTTTATAAGAAATCGCCTTGCATAAACGCTCTTAGAACCCTGAGACAGGGTCTCTTTTCGTAAGTCGTTTTTTCCAATCGCGTTTTGTCTATAAGTCGAGATCACTATCAAGAATTTACCAACAACCTCGGAAGCACGTAAATTATCAAAATTAATTGCTCCATAAATAAAATTCGCGCAAATAAGCCAATTAATGGTTCTCGAAAATCATGATTTCGCGGTGTCAAGCAATTATCAAAAGCGGCTTATTGTTCTATTGATTGCAAAGTCACTAATTTTCTTCTCGCTTCGCTATATTCCAAATTGCGATAGGTGGCGCTCTTATCGCGCGCCTTATCGCGATAAAAACGCAAATTTCTTTTGAAAAAAACAAGTCATAATCAAAAATTACTTTTCGAAAAAAAAGGAAAGTCTAGACACGATTCCTCAAGAAAAAAAGAGTTATTGGTTAATTTTTATTTCGAAAACAAAAGATAGCCAATTTTTGACGACAACTGAAAAAAGAGAGGATGAAGATCTTTGGGCAAATTTTGGCGGCTTCCGTTTCGGCTAGAATCAGTATTAGCGGTATGTTAGTTTTATTATCTTCTATCGCGATTTAAAAACTAAAGATTGATGATTAATAAAAAAAATCAAATACTCAAAACTTATACTCAAATTTCGTAATTTTAGTCGGGTCAAATAACGAAGTCAATTATTCCGGCGGCCCAGTCCTCGAGCGACCAGCGGTTCAGCCGACGCGTCGACCAGCCGCTCCGAGCAGCTCCGACAGAGACCGATTCATGCTCGTTTCTGGGCCAGAATCGGAAAATGGCGAGTCAAATCGGTTAACCGGCGAGTCCGGCTGCTGCGAAAAAATCATCATCCACGATCTAATGAACGGCCAAAGGGTTTTCGAAAAAAGTCCGTTCGAAGAAACCTGGCTCGATCGAGGCGGCGACGCGATTTTTTTCAACCCTCAATTTCAGATCTGGCAGTTGGTCCCTCAATCTGATCCTTCTTCGCTCGGAACAGGTAGATTTAAAAAATGGCTTTAAGGACCCCCCCATCAAGATGAAAAAAGTCAAAATTTTCAAAATTTTTTTGCTTTTTTGGGTAGTTTAGACCACGAGGAACAACTTTTATTCAGAAAATTTTTTTGATTTTACAGAAAATTTTGACAGAAATGGACTTCAAAAATTGAAAATTAACATTTAACATTTCATAAAAATCTTTAGTTCGCTATTTTTTAATGGTAATTAAGGGTATACTAACCATAAAAACTATTTCTATCATAAACACGAGTATAAAAACGTAATTCAGGGCAATTTAGGCAATAATTACTGAAAATTTAAATCTGGAAATTCGACTAAGATTCGACTTATAAAATTTTAAAGGGGCTGTACTTCTTAAGTTCGTAGACAAAAAACTCTAAAAAAGCAAACGGTCGTAGCTAAGGGCCTTAACTTTACCATGAAAAAAAATTAAGGGTATACCCCAACGAAAACCCCAAAAAAAACGTTCACTAAGCAACTTTACCTTTAACGGCCTGTATCACCTTAAATTTGGCATAGAGATCATCTTAAGGGGAACGGTTGCAGTAGAAGGTTCGATCTGAAGGATGCAATTAAAATTAAGGGTCTAGCTAAGATAGTTTTGGAGAAAAACTTTCACTAAGATGCCCAATTTTCGCGATTCTTGATGGGGGTCCTTAAATCCTGGCTTCTTTAATTGCACCCTGAATTATTTTTCAATTGCTTAAATTACTCTGCAGCATTTACATCCAATCCGGCCTCCCTCGCCCCCGGCTGCCCCGACCACTTTCCCTGGCTGGTCTCAAACGACCATCGCTGGTCGACAGTCAAGAAATACGCCCAGTGCGTCGAAGATACAACCAACGAGGACAAGCTAGCTTACGATCTCTCCGAGCGAGTCTGTCAAATAATGCAAACGGCTGTTCCTTCGCTTAGAGCGAGGAAAATCGCCACGCTTTGCCAAAGAGCTAAATCCATCGCGGAGGTGAGTTTCATTTTTAAATTCTAAGCAAGCCAATTAAATGAACTCTGCTCAATTTGTTTTTCGCAAAACTGCGCGTTCAAACGTTTTTTTTTTGCGATATTTGATGATGATTGAATTAGGCAGCAATTCCCCAGTTTCCGTCAGTGTTTTTTGAAAATTCAGCTTGTTTACATAATTCTAGCGCGTCATTAAACAGCGATCCTGCGCCGCCGCACTTCTGACCAGAGTAGACTCGAATTTGGTTCTTTCGCTCGAAACTCTTCGTGAATGGAGGTAACTTCAGGACCTTCTCTCTCTTGTCATTTTGCAATTTTCAAACACGATTTTGGGGGTGTTAGAGTCGAGATAGACCCCAAAAGAGTGAGGCCTCGAAATCGTTACTCGACCCCCCCCCCCCCCGTAGAATCCATTTCTGGGGTCAAAATTCTGAAATTCAGAAAATAAATTTTTCGAAAATTGTTAACGGGGGAGGGGGTCCTTAAGTAGTGAGCGAGCAATTTTTCTTTATATTTCCTTAAATAACTTTCTAGCTATAGTATCGAGTCGATACAATCGACAAAAAAATTTTTTGAAAATCTTAAGGTTATCAATTCAAAATATTGAAAAATAACAAAAGCAAGTCGATTTGGTTATGTCTCCATTTTACGGTTTATTTCTAAAAAGCGATAACCAATTAGTCGGGTTATTTGGCCAACTTGTTCTTTTACAAAATAGTATTTATATTCAAATAGGCGCTGCTTCATAACCCACGTGAATCCACGTTTATTTTTGATTGCAATTTGAAAAGTTATTTTCAATTTTGTTATTACAAATTTCTAGAGACAAAATGATGGCGATCAACGCGCAGCGAAACGAGGATTGCGAGAACAACGAAGATTTGGACGGAACGATCGGCCGTTTTTACAGCTCCATGACAAGGAAAATCACAAAGGCGCAAAGAAAGCCGAGAAAATCGAAATCGAAAGGAAAGAAAAACTGAAAGCTTCAAAAAACATCAATTGACGATTTTTTCTTCAAAAAATATTTGAAAAGCGATAACTAAACTTAAATAATTTTTGAATCAAAAGATGTTATTTTTTGCTTGAAAATTTTGTATATTTTTAAAATTAACTTTTTATTTGACGCTATTGATTTAACCTTACTGTACAAAACTCTCATATTTACTGTGAAAGGGATATCTCAATAAAGGAATAATAAAATTTACAAAATAATGGTTTTGAAGGAGAAAATCATTTTTAGAGACTCTAGAAATTGCACTCAGTGCATCCGCTCATGCTTTTCTGTCCATTTCTCTCTCAAATTTCGCCCGAATTTTCATTGAAAAGTTTTCAAGTTTGAAGAAAACCTTCAAGACCTCAGCAACGAAGCTTTAACTAAATCATATGTTAATTTCAGTAACTGCTACTTAATTTTATTTAAATGATGTACATAACACTTGAACATAAACTGCAAAACAAGAGCTAGATGAATTTAAAAACAATAAATTTATTGAAAATTAATTGAAGATGAATCGCTTAAAAAGCTTGCTAAAACATGTTTTTCAGTAGTTTATTTGAATTATCTACAGAAGAAATGTTATTTTCGGAGAGTTTGTACTGGTATTTACATTTTTTTGCAATTTGTTTGGTATGTTTCACCTCTGCCCTCTGCGCAGAACTCCTTCGCCGGCGGATACTGATCGCTCAAATCTATGCGTGCTTTTCTGTCAACACAGAACGGCCATAAGGCCTTCAGCCAGGGCTTGCCGAGAGACGCTGCGCAGTAGTTGATCAAAAAATACGGTCTTAGGGAACTCTGGCGTCGGCCAATTTATCAAAACGCAAAGCTGCGAATTCACTTTAATCATTTTTTGGTTTTCCCTTTTATCTTTTTAAAAAGAACCACTGATCTGTCGACCGCACCTGTTGTTTTTATCAGAATAATGCAAAAGGCTCATAAATTCGTCGTTTGCACATGGTTATCACGATTAATTAGCCTATATAATTGAGTTTTGCGCTTCTTTAAATTTTAAATTAATTAATTTGTTTATTTTAAATGAGAGTTTCCAACCTTTTACTTGGAGCTCTTTACCATTCAGTAAGTACAGTTGTATGAGGAGTTTCTTAAATTTTTCAAAAAAAAATTTTCCTTTCTTAACGAAAATAGGTCTAAAAATGTTCAAATTATGTGAGCGACTTAAATTAAAATTTTTTTTCGGAAAACGCTCGAAATATGCTTCTAAAGTGGACCTATCTCTTGACAAAATTGTGAGGAAACCCTTAAATTTTTTTCGAAATTAAATTTATTGTGAAGATAGTTCAGACCCTTAGGCAAGTGGGCAAAATAGTTTTAGAAAGGTCCCTTTACATTTTGAGGTCGCAGAAGCTGATTTAAAAAGTGTTGTTTTCATCAAAATCGTCATTTTTTAGTCAATTTGAGCTTTAATTTTTGAAAAACTCATAAGTATTCTCAATAATTGCCTTTTTATTAGTAAAATCTTTTATTTTAACAATATCTCGTAGCAAAAATCATGTAAATATCGGTTTTAGTACAGAAAATCAAATTTAAAAAATTCGAAAATTCTTTGAAAAAATGAATATAAATGCCGGAAAACAAAAATAGCATGAAAATTCTCGACCACCAACCCCTTAAAAAGATAAGAGTCCGAATTTCTAACAATAGGTGTGTGCGGGGACAGACTGAAATTGATCAACTCAGAGTTTCAAGCATTTGTCAAGCCCCTTAAATTCAAAAAATCAAGGAGCGGGGCTGAGACTTTATTTATTTTTAAATAATTATTTTGGTCGAAATGCATTTTAAAATGAAATATATCGTTTTTGGACAAATAATATTTTATATTTAATATCACATTCGTGATATATAATTATATTTAAGCATAAAGATGTTAAAGCTGACGTGGTCTTCACGGGTTGTCAAGCTGATGTAATTAGGAGCCAACCAGGATGGGAAAATGTGAAGCTGGATACTGACGGAAGCGAATGCATTGCTGATCAGGCCCGAGGCGTGTCTATTTTCTCTAATTGGCACGATTATCGTAACGAAACGACAGGGAAATGGATGATTCCCTTCTACATCGAGGAAGAACATTACAATTCCGATGAAATTGAAAAGATACGATCACATGCTCGTCAGTTCGAAAAGAATACTTGCATTCAGATGAAAGAACTCATTACTGCGGAGGATTTCGATTACTTCACAAACAGAATCAAAGTCTTTTCAAATCCAGCGGAATATAATTGCGCAAGCAAAATCGGTAAAATTGGAGGAACTCAGCCACTCTGGTTGCAACCAGATTGCATTAACGAAAAAGGGTACTCGGAGACAACCACAAACCACGAGTTTATGCACGCTTTGGGTTTCAAACATGAGCATAGCCGTCCGGATCGGGATGATTATGTTTACATTCATCCTGCAGTTATTGAAAAGGGTTAGAATTCCTATTAGTTACACCAAAATTTTTCATTTCTTCTTCATAAGTTTTCACTTTATCTGCGAGATCTTTCGAACTGAAAGCTAGGTTTCAAATCAAAAAAATGTATTAATACAGAGATGATACTTTTAAGACGCATCAGGTGCGAATAAGAAAATTCGACTGGAAAAAAATTGAGTGACTGTTTAAAATTTCAGAAAACACTGACAAGAAATCCGATTTTTGCTTCCTTCCCCCTTAAAATATGAAAGAAGTTCTGAAATATTGAGGCCGGAAATAAGGTAAAAAATAAAAATAATGTTGGAGATATCGGAGAGTCAGAACGACCTTAAAATTTTTTTTGAAAATTTTGATAAAAAGTACTATTTTCGGCCCTCCGAAGGTACTTAAAAAACAAAATTTTGAGCCACCCTAATCATATGCCAGAAATCATATCCGATCACTCAAAGTTTGAAAGTAAACAGGTGTATTTTTTGAAAATCTTTTTCGAATTCACTCTTTCGTCTGAATGCGATCAGTTGATAAATTTAAAAGCAGTGCATTAACAATAGATAAAGTTTTTTTTTACCTGAAAACCTAACCCTGAGGTAGATAACGGCAATTATGCAAAAATGTTAACTTCTATCTGGACAAATACAAGCTCTCCTTACGATTTTAAGTCGATCATGCATTACGAGCCGGGCATGGTTAGTGATGGAAAATGGACAATTGGACTCCCCCCAGGCAAGAGTTCAAATATTTCTTAAAGTTTTTTCGCTCTATGATTGGAAACTCAGTTATCAGTATTTTTAATATATTATAAAGTATCTCGTTTATTGCAGAAACTTTTCGCCTTTTGGCATCATCAGTGCTTTAGAGACGCAAAGTTGTATCTCAGATACTCGAGATAATGTTTTAAATACTCGTCAATTTTGCGATATATTATAAAGTTCTTTAATGTCAGGAGCTCAAATGATAATGAACTCTTTCAAAGATGGCCAAGAGCGTGCTCCAGTTGAGCATGTTTATCCTTTTTCAGAGCAGGATATATATCAGATGATGATTTTCTATCCATGCGACGATGCTAATCGCTGTGATCCCAATCCTTGTGGAGATGGGCAAACTTGCGTTCTCGACGCAACCAATCAGCCGATTTGCGAATGTCCGGAAGGATCGCTGCTGAATTCGGCCGGAACATGCCAAGTTGTGGCTTCAATGGCCGTCGATGATTTTTCAGATCTTGTGAATTACAAATTCATAAGACTTCGCCGTAGCCCCTCAGTCTCTCTTTACGACAACAACGGTCTTGTGATTGACCTTGCGAGTGCCGACGCAAGTGAAATCACAGTTCTTGCAGAAGTAGAAGAATGTGGAGAATCATTAACAGTTGATGAATGCCCTTTAGAAAAAAATTCCGCAATATTAAACGGAGAATCTGCGACGCTGAGCTCTCTGATATTTCTCAAGTCTGTCAATCAGCGACTCAGATTTTCTCTCCGAAAAAATGGAGTCAATTTCCTACCGGACATCTGGAGCATTTCCGGCGAGTTTGTGATTAAAGATGGACTGGAAGCAGCGCCGTGGAATATCACATGGACAGGCGATCATTCAACGAAGTATTTTGGCGCGCCTCTAGAAATAACAGCATCTTTTACTTCTTACAGCGGAGAATCAATTGACTTAGGTCCAGGCGAAAGAGATATACAAGCGTGTCTTTGGCTCAATGAAGCTGGAACAAATGGATTAGTCATGGGCTCGGCAAACATATAAATAGCGCTAAATTTTCGTTAAGAATTTTTTTGCGTAATTTATTTAAAATGCCCAAAATTTTCCGTCTATTCGAGTCGTTATGATGAATTGACGAAGAGTTGATTCTGCTGTTCGTGGCGTATTGATTATTTTAATTTGTTAAATCTGCTCTTAACCGCATATGATATGCGGCATATCGAATTTTGCGTAGGTCAAGCCTTTTAAGGCTGTTTTGGTTAAAATAAAATTTTGAGAAGCACACGATTGGAATTCTTCCAACTTCGAAAGATTCGAACCCGAACGATCCGGAAATAAAGAATATACGTTATTTATGTCCTTCTTCATGTCAATGGTCAATTTTTAAGAATTCTTAATTTATTCAAAGAATTGATTTTTGATGGAGCTGCCCGAAGCTAGATATGGGGGCAAACGTTAATGCCTCCCGAAAATTTTGCGCACGGCGCCCCGAACTCGGGGCAGAGCCCCTTTATCCTTGATTTTGTCCCATTTTTGTAGACAAAGAATTTCGACAACCCGACTTTATTGGGATCAAATTTTACGTGCAAAATGATTTAACGTAGAAAAAAAAATTTTAAGGAAATTTTTGATTCTAGTATTGAGAAGAAAAGTCAACTTGGGCAAAAATACGTACAAATATTTTGAGATTCTCTAATTTTCTGAATATAAACCTGCCCAAAATCTTATTTTGACGAAACCCTAAATATATACCTTAGAAACAAAAGAAAAGAATTTTCATATTTTTCCGATTTTCGATCCGCAAAACTCTTAAAATTGAAGCATCAGTTATTGTCTGATTTAAGTCGATTTTACTTTTAATATTATTTTTTTTTCTTTTCAAAATTGATAAAAGTGTCGAGGAGCCCCTGCTAAAGACTAAGTTTGATTTAAGATTAAAATTCTTTTGCGCTAGAACGGTTAAGATCTTGCCCCGAGTTCGGGGCGTTGTGCGCTTACCGAGATAAAGTTTTGTGCGCTCGCGCGTTAGAAGTCTTAAAAGATTCATATAGATTCTACTTAGCGAGTTATGCAGTTGCCGAGCTCAATATCAGCGCCGGTTGAACGCAAAGATCTTTTTTTATGAATGCAGAAACGCTGATCAATTCGGAAACTTCGATTTAGACAATATTACATTCTACTATACCGACGTGGACGATCACGTCGCCGTTCCTGCCGGCAACTATTTTTTAAGTCTTAGAATTGTCGCCTTCGACAGCTGGGGACCCGAGGATATGTTTTTTCTAGATGAAAATTATGGAGGGTCTGTTATGTCTTCTGGAATTTTCGAGCTAACTCTTTCTGACACTTGTGCGCAGGAATGTAACGCAAATGGATATTGTCATCCGACAGCATCGACTTTCGGCACTCCATCTTGTGTCTGCAACGACGGTTACGAAGGCGACGGTGTCGATTACTGTATCGAGGTCATCGACGAATGCACGAGCAATCCATGCCCTGCCGAACAAGAATGTCTGGACAAACTCTTTGGCTACGATTGCATTTGTGGATCAGGCTTTTATAAAGGCACAGCTAGGGTTTTTCAAGGAAAGTGTAATATCATTTAATTGGCCTCAAGATTTTAAAATTCGTGTAACTTGAGTCGCTTATTTCAAATACCAGAAGATTTTTCAGGGGTACTGAATTGCTCCGCCCTGCGCCGCCTTGCACCGCCCAGCTTTCGGACCGGGCGGCGTTAGGCGGCGCAGGGCGGCTAAATCAGTACATTTTTGAATTCAAACGTAAAACAAATAAACGAGCCGTTCCGTGCAAACCCTAGGCACAGCTGATGATTGCCTTGATATTGATGAGTGCGCGGACAATCTTCATGTCTGTAGCGATGGAACTAGCTGTGAAAACACATTTGGCGGGTACTTCTGCAATGCAGACAACAATCAGCCAAGTTGCGACCCAAACTGCGATGCTGGCTTCTTTTGCGATTCGGCAACGGAAACATGTGTTGACATAGACGAGTGCTCTGAGGGCACTCACGATTGCAAGGATTTCGAAAGCTGCAGAAATACAAACGGAAAATTCATGTGTGATTTCGACAACAGTCAGTGTCGTGACGATTTACCGCGACCTGAATGGAAAGGGGTACGTTATTTATGCTTTTTATTTTTTTTTGAATCATTCTTGATTTTCCAGAATGAAAGAAAGAAAATCTTTTTTTATAAATATCAAAATCAAAAATAAAAAAAAACCTTCTATTTTATTAAAATATATTATTGAATATTATAATTTGGTTATTTGAAAAAATAAATGGCTTTAAACCTTTTTTTATTATTTCAGTGATTCTTGGATCAAAAAACTCTTAATGAGAATATTAATTGATATTCAATAGCGATCAGGAATGCGATACGTTTATCAATCCTCTAACGGCGCCGTGATGGGTATGAAGTTCAAGAACAAGTTCAAAACGGTCAACATCCGCAACGAACTCTACACGGGCGTCATTATGTTCACCAAGACTGTCTGCGGAATGGACTTTCTTCGCGCCCTTCAAGATGGCAGAGTACGAATCGACCTCGTGGATTCATCCCCTCTCTATCAGATGCATGATTTTCACTACAAAAATCAGCAGAAGTACTCGGCCATCGGTTTCACATTTGATCTTCTGAGCATCGAAACAAAAGATATGCCCTGGTCTTTCAAGGTTCATTCAGTTTTTCTTTTCTCATCAAAAAAATAATAATTTATTAGTCTGGAATTCCAACCAAAAATATGGGCTCTGATGACGTCTATATTTCCTTCACAGGTTTGGAACAAGTCAACTGGCTCACGAATCAGGAGAATTGCCTTCTTCTTGGCGCTCAGGCAGCTCTTCCTTACGACGATTTCGACGAAGTCGACAGAGCATGTTTCGTCGATTTGAAGACTTTCTGGAAAACGCCCCCTCTTCCGAATCCTTAAAAATCATATTCAAAAATCTTTTGTCAATTATTCACTTTTATTATTTATCTGGTGTCGTTAGTTCTCTTTGCACTAGAGATGACATAAAAAACCCGTTATCGATATGCAATAAATTTAATATCGAATCATTTACATCGATGTCATTAATCAAGATTTCGATTTCCAAAAAATTTCATGATAAGCAATCACTGATTTCCAGTAAGGCAATTCTCATTTATGCGTAAAAGCTTTCACTATTGCCTTATCAAAGATCATCTACAGGACTCTATTTTCAGCGCGCCGTTTGAACTTTCAAAAGGTGAAAATGCTCGTTTTTGTCGTCGCAACATTTTGAAAGGAAGAGCCAGTTGTCAAATTGTCCGACAAAGAGTCGGGGTCTCGACAATCCTTAAAAACAAAATTTACTTATAGACGACAAAAGTGACCAACTAAACAATTCTTGAGCGGAATCTTTGTTTAATAGAAGATTCATTGTGATATTGACTATGAAATCTTTGATCGAATATGATCTGAACTGTCCTTCAAGAAGAATATCATTGAAATAATTTGTTATTGACGAAATCTTATTATCTAAAAAATTATATACACCAAAAATTTACGCTAAAATTTTGTGTAAAAGAATTCGTTCCAAGTGTTAAAAATCTTTCCTTTATGCTTAGTTTAAGTTTAAACTCATACGGAAATTTTGCTTATCGAACTAAGCTGTCATTTTGTAGAACCTTGCATTCAACAGTTGTACTGTTTTCAAAGTAGCCAATACTTTGAGCTTGCTGAGCTGAGCTGTCCTTCCCGAAAAATCATTGAGTTGGGTTGACTCTTCAAAAAATTATTCAAATGATTTGAGCAAGGCAGTCCATATTGAAAAAATTGACCTGAGCTGAGGCACACAGCCTCTTCAGCTCACTAAGCTCAGAAAATTTGCAATTTTCAAAATCGGAGAGAGTAAACGAACAGAGTGGTCTCCCTTTTGCCCAAGTCGCCGTTTGACCAAGATCACTGTTTGCTCAAGTGGGGAAACGGTTAATCGGACAAATGGCGATAAGTTTAAATTCAAATTGATTGATCAGATGAATTTATTTTATGGGCGTCCCAATAATCAATCCTGACTTAACCATCTCCAATCCCTGCTTCAACAACTTGAATCCTTGCTTTTCAGACGTCGATCCTGGTGGCTCAAACATAACTGATGTCTAAAAGCCAAGATTGACATTGGAGAAGCCAAATAATGTTTCAATCAATCATAATTAATTCATTCACATCGCCGTTTGTTCAAGATCTCCCTTTCCTGAAGTTGGGCGAACGGCGATTCGGGTAAACGGCGACTCGGGCAAACGGAAACCACTCGTCGGAACGTATAGAAAACAAATAAAAATGAAATTGAACTTCAAATGGACACTTTTTCAAAATTTACATATTTTTGGAAAATTTTCGCTTTCGCTTTTCATTTTTGGCCAAAATCAAGACCCCTGATTGAAGGTTGATCTCGTGCCTTAAGATTTTTATTTCTCTGAAAGAAGATTGAGAAAGAAGACGATCTAGTTGTTACTCAAAAAATTTTTTCAAGTGATTTGAATGGGGAGGTGTCTGGAACCGACAGAAAAATCCCGACAAAATTTTTCATTTTCTTCAAGTGAATTTTAATGGCCCGCATTATCTGCTGCGCTAACGAAAATTTCTCAAAACTGCCTAGAAACCTCTATCATGGCCTGAAATAGATATTCCTGCATAGTTTTTAGAAAAAATTATTATCAATAAATTTTTAGAGTATTTTTTCTGAAGAGTCTATTTTTGAAAATTTTTGTCGGAATTTTTTGTCGATTCCAAACACCTTCCCATTTGTATAGGACTTTTTTGAGAGCATAAATCAAATTTTTCGACATTTTTCGGAAAATATTGCGTCAAAAATGTCCAAAATTCAATAATAACTGTAACCGCATAAACTTCGGAGGGTTGAGGAACCCCCTGTCAGCTTTTTCCTCCGAAAAATTGAAATTTTTAAAAACACCATATTTTTGGTTCTTTATGCATCCTCAACTTAAACTTGCTTCAAAAACTTGATAAGACGAAGATTTGACCAAGAAAAATCAACATTTTTGCCAAAATTAGGGCAAATTCGTCAATTTTCGGCGAAAAGTCCGATTTTCAAATGCGATATTGAGGGTGAGGGGGTAGGATTCATTTGCACAATAGCTTCGTTTGCACAGAGCTTCATCTGCACAAGAGCTTCATTCGCACATTCTGTGCAAACGAGGCTTTTGTGCCAGTGAGGCTCTTGGGCAAATGAGTGTCAAATTATATTTTTGATGAAAAAATTGAAACGTTTAAAAATATTTGGAGAAAATTAAAACTTATTAGTTTGACGGTCGTATTTTATCAAGTTTTTGTATCCTTAGTCAAACATAAGAAATTATCTGGAAGAGTTAACTGAAAAGTTTAATTGTATCGAGTAGGTCTGCCAGACGCCAGAAAACTGCGAGTGTATGTCGCGTTGACTCATCGCAATTTTTGAACATACCAGTATGTTTGAGCCAGAACCGATTTCATTATAATTTATAATTTTTATAATTTATAAACCCAAATGATTATAAAATCGATTGATTATTAAGAAGGGTTCATAGAGAACGCAAAATTAGTTTTGATCTGCTAAGAAAGATTTTTCCTTATTTGAGAAATTTTCTGAACAAAAATAATATCGACGATATTATATCGTCGGCAGCCAATAAGCGTAAATTGAAAAAGCCCACGAAATCAAAACCCTCATTAGCACAGAGCCTCACTGGCACAAAAGCCTCTTTTGCACATATTGTGCAAATGAAGCTCTTGTGCAGATGAGGCTCTGTGCAAATGAAGCTATTGTACAAATGAAGCCTACCCAGGGTGAGGGAGTCGAGATAGACCCAAAAAAAATGAAACCTCAAAATCGTTTTATGACCTGTAGAATCCATTTCCGGGGTCAGAATTCTGAAATTCCGAAATTTGATTTTTCGAAAAAAGCTGACGGGGGTCCTTAAGGGTAAAGCAGAAGAATTGGTGGTAACCGACAAAGGCTAGGGTTAACCTTTGTCACAAAACCTTTGTGACCCTCCACTCGCCGGGACTCTGTCTACATATTTTAACGGCGAGTCGAGCTTCTCCCGTAAAATACGGGTCTGCTCAAAATAGCCAGCTGTCAAAATTGATCTCACCAGGCCTTAAAAGCGACCTTTTTCGCTTTAAACTCATAGTTTCTTTTTTCTATCTTTGACATCACTTGCAATGATTTTCAAAGATGAAACAAAGACGAATCGGAGTCAAGACAAGCAACAAAAAGTTCAGGTAAAGTTTTTCGAAGAAAAAAAGGGTACAAAATTTATGAAGCTTGTTTCAGAAATGTCTTTTTCTTATAAGTAGAACGTCCATTTTTTATATTTTCTTGTTTATTGCAGAAGCCTTTTGCCTAACGAATTTAAGAGTGTTATAGGAATAATAAAACAGACAGAAAACTTTGACAATCATATGATATGATTCATATCAAAAATAGAATTACCTTTAGAGATGCGAAGTTGTATCTGACAATTAAGAATCCACCAGAAACGGTCATTTTTCTTTTAATCTTCTTAATTGTGCCCCTTAAGGGGGAGGGTGGTCAATATAGATTTTCAGTGGTGATCAAAATCCCATTTCAACATAAAGTGTGCATATGAATCTTATATTTTTGGAATCTCAAGATCTTAACGAGTCTGTTGAGCCTAAAATTATTATATAATAACAAGTGTTTGATGAATTTTCGCGAACTTTCCTTGCTTTGGGGCCATCTTTGACCGAGTTTTTCTGACCTACTTTTTTCTCGTTTGCGCCTGTAGAGTTTAACAACCCTTTTCTTTCTCCTTAACAATTTGATTTTTGTCTATCCAATCAGGTTTTCCCGCTTTTTTGGTCGAGAGAAACCCCGATATTGACGACCTCCCCCTTAAATCTTATTTTCTCGAATGATTTTAGGCTCAAAAGATTTGACAGGGTCTTAAGATTCCAAAAATTCAAGTTTTATATCCAGACTATGTGTATTAGTAATACAGTATAACTTAAACAGTAGGGGATAAATTATGATCATCTTTAACATAATTCTTGTCGACTTCAATTTAAGTGCATTAAAAATTTTTTTTTATTTTGCTCATTGTCATCATCTTGAAATCGAAATCTTTAATAACATAATCATAGTGTATGGACTGCCACTGTATCGGCACTCTTAACCAAAAGAATGAAAAAGTCTTTTTTGGTTCCGGATGAAGTTCTGACTACTCGGAGCATCCACACTCAAAAACAAGACATGCAACGGAAGCCAACTTGGAAGAAAAAAATCACCGCAAAAATGAGCTTGGCTAAACACGGAAGCGCTACTGATAAGCAGCAGCACACTTATCTCATACTCGGCTCTATTTTCTGGATAACAGTGATGCTCATAGGTAGGCTTATTTTTTGTTTAAGTATGGTTTAATTTATGGCTAGCAAATTTTCAATCGCTTGAAAAATCTCGCGGAGTAACGACTTATCTGACGTCGACTTGTCATCGAAATTACAAGAAGTGCGTCAAAAGTGAATCGATGGGACCGTGTTTGAAAACCAAAATTTTAAGTATTAAATTTCCTAGAAAGTCTTTTGACGAAGGGAATCGAGTGTTTTGATGGGCTATCAATGATAGGCCTTAGGGTGCGGACACTCCTCACAAAACTGCCATCCTTTAAGAGTCTGCTCACTACCCTTTGCTGAAACCTGGGCTCTGCCGGTCATTTACATTTTTGGAAAAATACTTAGGGGTCGAGCATTTTTTATCGGTTTTTCTTTGGATAAAACAAACTGAGAACTACCATGGGCCATTGTGTGAATATCTTACGCCGTATCGATTACAAGACGAGAGTTTAGAAAAACAGATAGCTCATCTAACATCTAACAATCATGAACAAAAATAAAATGTTCTTTGGCTGATTTTTTCCTTATCGGAATTTACGTTTTTATACAAGTCA